AAGGACCGGAGGAGTATTTGATAGTATAAATGTTGTTTTTAACAATTGCTGGGAGCTACTGCATTAAACGACTAAAAATAATAGTACATCATTTCCTAATTATAAAATCTTATTTATAATTTATAAATAAAATCTTATAGATAGGACCGGAGATAATACTTGCATGTTGCTCTTTAAAATGGGCTTGATGAAGTCGGTGGCAGAGAAAAGAAAGACCCTTTTATTTTAAACAAAAGAAGAAGAAGAAATAAATAAAAAAAGAAAACAAAGATTTTGGGTCAGGCGGCGGGGATCAAAAAGTGAAGATGAACTCCAGTAAATGATTTCCGAGTTGGTCTCAAATCTCAGCCACTTTTTTTGTTATTACATCAACCCCTTTTTAAATATATGTGCTATCTGCTCATATACTTTTATTTTTGCATGTAATGCAAAATTAATTAAAAAATTACTCCTCCGGTTCTAAATATAAGATCCATTTCTCATATTTATTAATTTTCTCTAAATTACCCTTATGGATACTCCCTCAACCATAATCAAGTAGAAGAGGAAGAGGGGTATTATGAAAGATAATTATGGTATTTTAAGAAAAATATGTCACATTTCTTATAAGTAACTAATTTACCTAACTTCCTTAATCTAATCAAATTAGTTAAATAGATCTTATATTAAGGACCGGACAAGTATTATGCATAAATAACTCGATGTAAGAGAGTCACGACGTAGAGTTAGCAACAAAGGTTTTCGCTTTCATTTCCAAGTGATAAGTAAACTTTTAACAAATAATTATAAATTTGTGACCCTCAAGTTATTAATCAATAATTATTACTGGGTGAGTCTTTCTCAGAGGGCATGGGAATTTAGAGTATAATTTTTGTCATGTAAAAGTTTAACTGAGCTGAGTCTCACCAAAGTCAAGATATGTCTCTAAACTCATACAGTGTTTATAGAAATATTTACAGATTGATAATTAATACAACGAGATTTGAATTCACAACTTAGCAGGCTATAAACCAACTTCTTATTATTTGGATTAACTTCTTATTACTGTTGACCAACGAGATTGTGGTCAACAGTAAACAGTGAAGGGATTCTATATATCTGTATCTATATAGGTTTGATGATTAATACTTGATCACACATATATTTAAAAAACGATGTGTTGGCAACTAGGTATAATGTGAGAGCAAAAGTAGGGAGAAGTGAAAACTCATGATTTTTTCTATGAAACGAGGCATGGAGTGCCAAACTGAGCTCTAAATTCTTGGTGGCACTTTATTTGTTTTTATGAGTACTTAAATTACAGCTTCAGTCCCACGTATTTATTATTTACAATAAAGAAAAAGTGAAGGGGGTACAAAAATGAGTGGAGGGGTGAAAGGCAGGATGGGACAAGTGGTGGATGGAGGCAGGGAAGGGATATGGCTCATGGCAAAAGGGCAAACAACGTATGTAGCCATACCTAGGAAGGGAAGAGTGCCCAGAGCCAATGTACAAAGTACATACTGTTGACTCCCCATCATTCTATTGGACCTACCCCTGTCCCACGTGCCCCTTCAAACTTTTGCACAAAATTATTTTTTATTAGAAGCAATTCTATCTGGAACACTACTCAATACTAAATATAGACATTTTTTCTAATAAAAATTTAAATCCCGGCTCATCACATTATAAAGAACTAGTCTCTTTTATTAAGGGACCAGCACAAACACTCACTCCCTTTTAAATTATTATTTGGATTGGAAGTTTGATTTGGCAATGTCCTTCATTAAAAATATTATGAAGTGTGCTCTTACGGTTTTACTCAGATAAGCATGGTTCTTTTTTTTTTTTACCAGAAGTTTATAACTCGCATGATGTTTTACACCATTCATTGATGAGGTTTTGAGTATTATTTCCAAAATGATCAAAATTGAAGTGGGTGGGCGTGTAATTCTTGTTTTCTAGGGGGATTAAATTGTCCAAATGAAAAAAGTATGCTTGTCTCTGTAACGAGTTGAGTGTATAATTGTCTCTTTAACATAACCATCAATTAATTAGAAAATTGCATATAACAATTAATTTAATAACAAATGAGTTTCTAAAAATATTTATTAAAAATGAGTTGTGGATATGAAGGTTTTAATTACAAATAAGTACTAAGATTATAGTCAACTTTCCATTATTTGGGATAATTAAATTAACAAAGTTCAAGAGACATAAGAATAATTGCTTAGGAGTGTTCTAACGTCAATGCATGCAAGCGACAACAAACGAGCCAGATAATGTAAAATCTTGCGAGAACTCAGGGGCGAAGAGGGGGAAAAAATCCTTTTTTTTTTTTTTAAATGAAATGGGCATATTATAGTCTATAGATAGCCTAAAAAACACTTAAGGCTACTGAACCCGTCAAAAAAATATTTCATGGTATTAGATGTATTTAAAAAAATAGTTTAAAATGTTAAATGTATCACAAAATTTTTTTGAGTGTTGGATATATATAAAAATTATTTTAAAATATTGGATATATTTTAAAGTCATAAACCTTTCTTATAGTGACTTTTCATTTACAGTAACTGAATCGAATTATAAATCATGAAAGAAACCACATATTTAGAACGTATGATTTTTTCATTTGGAAAATAAAAAAATCATTTATATTACACTGTCGTTATTTAGTTTGATTATTTGTAATGCAATGACTTTCTTCAAGCAGAAGATAGTAAACGATTTTTGTTTTTGGGTGAAAAAGGTAGAAAAGCAACCACAGAGAAATAAAGATTCCAAGAGGAGGCGGGCGCGTGTCCTTCACCCGACCCAATCTAGGAGGTTACTTTTTCCCAGATTTTCCCATACGCGGTGGCGGCGCTGCTTTATATATTCTGCTTAACTATTAACCTATGAGATTTCAAATTTAAAAGGTTAAAGTAAATCTAACATCTTAAAATATTATTTAAAATATTTTTTGGTGTTTTTAGTATTCTAAAATGTATTTTTTTGTCTTGATGCTTGATAAACTAAAAATTTTTTTAATGCTAGATGCATTTAAAACAAATATTTCAAAATACTAGATACATAAAAAAATATTTTACAATGCTGGATGTATCTGAAAAAATATCTGAACGTGTTCAATGCATCACACATCCGAAAAAATATTGTGAGCACCTTGACCCTTTAAACTATACTCTTTTTTTTTTATGAATTTGTGTTAATATTCTAGTTTGTCTTCACATTCAATCAAATTTTTATTTTAATTCCTGAAATTTCAAATTATTGACATTGATTTGCATAACTTGATGAAGATTTGGTCTAAGTTTAAATATAAGAACTAAAATCAAAACTTATTAAAAATATAGAGACCATTTATTAAATTTTAAATCAAATTTTTATAAAATTAGAAAGACTGAAATCAATTATTTGGAAGGCCAAAACTAAAATTTAAATTTTTGCACCGACGAAAAACCATTCATTACTACTACCCAGCTTTTTAAAAATTAAAGACTGGAAATTGCGCCCCAAGGCGTCAAAATTAGTACCTGCTTTAGAGTTTAAAATAATGCTCACAAAAGTATTTAATTATAAACAATCTATTATTATCACTTATCTTTAATATAAGAGCTAATTTGATATTTAATTTGGTTATAAATATAAAACTTCAATTTACTTTGTCTCTAGTATTTATTCATTTTGCCCTTAAGTGATTCCTATAGTGATTACATATGTTAAGGAGTTATTATTAATAAGTAATTCAAATACATATAGTTAATAAGGGTATTTTCACATTTTAAACATTTGCATGGTATATGGCCCCACAAAAAATATCCTTAAATGTTGGGGGTAATAAACATATCAAGTAAACATGCAGATTGCAAGAAATCAAGGGGGCATCGTGAGGGAAGTAGGGAACCCACTAATCAATATTTATTTTACCAACGCCGATTTTGACCCGCCGCATCAATGATTCGCAGCCATGAAAAAAGAGAATTACAACAATATCAAAAAAAAAATTCTCACTAACAATATAAGTAGCTTATAATGACAAGTTTAAAAATAAAAAATGACAATTTTTAGGATATATTTTGTAATTATTTTTTTTTGAGACGTTATTATAATTCTCCCCCATAAAAATACTGAAAACATTATGTATGCATGAAGTTTCTTCTATTATTTTAGCTATTATTACTTTTTGTCTGTTTTAACATGATGACATGGTGTTGGCACTTGGCATCGAACGAGAAACAGTCCAACCTAATTATAAAAAGGAAAAATATTTTACAGTTAGTTACTCGCAAAAATAATTAAGTATCTCAATTATCAGATAAAATTTGGGGATATATAGGGGAAAAATAAATTAAGGGAAAACCGTCTGTAAAGAAGAATATAAATAGAAGCATAACAAGTTTTTGCAGTTAATTTTAGTGAAAAGAATATACTTTCATATTAATTAAAGTCTGTGAATATTAGTATAAGTTGATGATCTACATATAAACTAACAAATACTCATATTAGTTACTCGCCCCGTCCTTAATATAGGATTCAATTATTGAATTGGTTTTGGTCCTAAATATAAGACTCATTTTTTATATTTATCAATTTTATCTAAATTACCCCTTTGGATATTCCCTTAACCATAATTAAGAAGAAGAGAAAGATGGAGTGTTAAGAAGGATGATTATGGTATTTTAAGAAAAACGTGTCACATTTCTTATAATTAACTAACTTACCTAACTTTTTTAATCTAATCAAATTAGTTAAATGGGTCTTATATTAAGGACCGGAGGAGTGTTAAGTCTTAACTCTTCGGTCATGGTAAGAATAAAATATATGGTTTTCCAATAAATACTCAGTAAATACTTATTTAAAATTTCCGTTATACGGTATTAGACTAATCATCTCATTAAACGCAGTAACGTAATCCTAACGGTTTTTTTTGCCTTTTTTAATTTTTTTTCCTAAGCCAGCTATTCTCCCTCCCCTGTTGCTCTCCCTGTCCCTAGTCCCTATATAACGAACTCCCCCTCCTCAATCTCCTTCCTCTGCTTAATTCGTCAAACACTCGCCAGTCGTTCGCCACCATGACCACTCACATTGATCACTTGTGGCTCTTCGCCTTAGCCTCCAAATGCACTCACACCAACCTCTTCTGGTCCTTTTTCTTCCTCGCCTTCCTCCTCTGGTTCACCATCTCTCTCTTTCACCGTTCTCACCCCGGTGGTCCTGCTTGGGGCAAGTACTACTCCACCGCCAAATCCAAACCCAGCGGTCATTCACCTTCTGCTTCTTTCTCTTCTCCATTAACAATCCCTGGCCCGAAAGGATTTCCTCTGTTTGGTAGCATGAGTCTTATGGCTTCTCTTGCCCACCGGCGTATCGCTGCGGCCGCAGAAGCTTTTGGAGCCAAGAGGCTCATGGCGTTTAGCCTTGGCGAAACTCGGGTGATCGTCACGTGCAACCCTGACGTGGCGAAGGAGATTCTGAACAGTTCGGTGTTTGCGGACCGGCCCGTGAAAGAGTCGGCGTATAGCTTGATGTTTAACAGAGCGATTGGGTTTGCTTCTTATGGGCTTTACTGGCGGACTCTGAGGAGGATCGCCGCCACTCACCTTTTCTGCCCAAAGCAAATCAAGGCGTCGGAATCTCAACGGTCCGAAATTGCAGGCCAAATGGTGGAAATGTTAGGAAAAAGTCGGGAAGGCAGCTTGCGAGTTCGCGAGGTGCTAAAGAAGGCGTCCCTCAATAGCATGATGTGCTCGGTCTTCGGACAGCGTTATAGGCTGGACGAGTCAAACACCCAAATGGTTGAGCTTGGAGCGTTAGTGGACGAAGGGTACGACTTATTGGGCACCCTTAATTGGGCGGACCACCTGCCCTGGCTCGCCGATTTCGACGCTCAAAAAATCCGGTTCAGGTGCTCTCGACTCGTCCCCCAGGTGAACCGCTTCGTGAGCAGAATCATCGCCGACCACAGAGCCCAAAAGACCCCAACCAACCGGGATTTCGTGGACGTCCTCCTGTCCCTGCAGGGACCCGATAAACTGAACGACGCCGACATGATCGCTGTACTTTGGGTAAGTAAATTTTTTTTCTCTTAATATTAATTATTCTCCACTCGAGAATGTCCCTACACGACCCTACTGTCAAGTGAAACTAAAATATTTTATTTTATTTTCCTATTTTTAAGGAAATGATATTCCGGGGGACAGATACGGTGGCGGTTTTGATCGAGTGGATACTAGCGAGGCTGGTTCTTCATCCTGATGTGCAAGAGCGGGTTCATGCAGAGCTTGACAAGGTGGTAGGGAGGTCACGTGCAGTCACAGAGGCGGACGTGGCAGCAATGGTGTATTTGACGGCGGTGGTGAAGGAGGTGCTTAGGTTGCACCCCCCGGGCCCATCCTTTCGTGGGCCCGCTTGGCTGTAACTGATACCGCCATAGACGGGCATCACGTGCCAGCGGGGACCACAGCCATGGTCAACATGTGGGCCATCTCGCGGGACCCACAAGTGTGGAGGGACCCTCCCTACACGACCCTACTGTCAAGTGAAACTAAAATATTTTATTTTATTTTCCTATTTTTAAGGAAATGATTTCCGGGGGACAGATACGGTGGCGGTTTTGATCGAGTGGATACTAGCGAGGCTGGTCTTCATCCTGATGTGCAAGAGCGGGTTCATGCAGAGCTTGACAAGGTGGTAGGGAGGTCACGTGCAGTCACAGAGGCGGACGTGGCAGCAATGGTGTATTTGACGGCGGTGGTGAAGGAGGTGCTGAGGTTGCACCCCCCGGGCCCACTCCTTTCGTGGGCCCGCTTGGCTGTAACTGATACCGCCATAGACGGGCATCACGTGCCAGCGGGGACCACAGCCATGGTCAACATGTGGGCCATCTCGCGGGACCCACAAGTGTGGAGGGACCCCTTGGAATTTATGCCCGAGAGGTTTGTCGCAAAGGAAGGCGAGATGGAGTTCCAGATCTTCGGCTCGGACCTCAGGCTGGCCCCGTTCGGGTCCGGCAGGCGAGCGTGCCCTGGCAAGACCCTGGGCTTTGCTACGGTTGCTTCTGGGTGGCTACGCTTCTGCATGAGTTCGAATGGACACCGTCGGATCAAAGTGAAGTTGATCTCTCAGAGGTACTGAGGCTCTCTTGTGAAATGGCCAATCCTCTGACGGTGGAAGTACGCCCAAGGCGCGGGTTAGGGTTAGCCCATTGTTAAGTAATTTAATATTAAGGTTAAATGTTATATAGGATAGTGGGTTTAGGCCTGTGATGGGTATTAAGGTTTTGTGTTTTCAAAAGTTTGAAGTACGAAGTTTCTATGAAGCTCTCTCTATATTATTCAAGATATATAAGTGTTGGCGTTGTAAATATTGATGAAATTAATACTGTGTTGTGAGTTTATGCCGCCTCTCTCTCTCTCTCTCTCTCACATATTGAGAAACAAAACAAAAAGCTAGATAAAACTAATGAGGAGCTTATAATTGTTCTTTATGCTTTTGGCACTAGCGACAGAGCTGGGTAAAGGGGTACCAGCATTATTCAGACAAAACACAAACAAAAGAAAGTGTCACAGATCATAATGTTGTATACTTGGTGAGATATGATTCTGTTCAGGTGAAATTTTTGTTTTATTCTTCTGGTGAAAGCTTCTCTAACCATCAGATATCAACATAGATTCACTCGTTTGCTACATAGCTTTATCACAAACTCATCAGACATCTTCAAGTTACCCGCCACAAGAACTTAAAACTGTACTTTTAGCATGACAGATATGAGAGAAAGGGCCAAAAGGAATTTCAGATACTAAAGAAATCTGTCAACTTAATATCAACCTTGAATAGGAATCTTTAAAGCAAAAGTGGCAACACAACACCACTCAATTGATTTGGTGACATTTACATAATTCAGACTCACAGATATTATGCAGATGAGTTTATTCCCACTTAACATCTTAAAAGTATTATTCCTAATGATAACGCAACTCCATCTCCTTTACTACTGGTGATTAAACCATTCTAATTAACTCGCTCAGATTTGAGATGCAAGTGCTTGATAACTGGAAGGATCTTTTGGCATCAACAAAGTGTGTCATACACAAAATAACTCCAACAATACAGAACTACAGAAAGGGAAAGCTCCATCATGTAACATCACAATGGCAAGAATCTGATCCAAGCCCATCATTCAGCAAACTAAACCCTGTACTAACATTGGATGCTTCATGCTATTCCTTTCTGTCTCTTTCTGTTTCCAAGTGGAAATTAGTTTTAAAAAAAAAAAATCTGATACTAAAACGTTCCTTTTTTTTTTTTTTAGTTCCATGCTATAATGTTTGTTACGCGAAACTAACAAAGATACAACTTATATCTTGATCTGAGGCCATCGTTAATAGATAATTTGCTAATACCTTAATGAACTTTTATTATGTCATGACACTTATCTTGACTCTGGCTTGGCTAAATTTTCACCGATGAAAAAATATTCACTCTTTTTCCTCAGTGAAGATCAGAAGATCCATGAGAGAGTTTCTTGCAATCTGCACCATGCAAATCTGAGAGAGGAACCTTGGCCTTGTATATTCTGCTCCTACAAAGTTACCTCTGCTTTTCTAGGTCTGCTCCTACAAAGTACATAGTTACCTCTGCTTTTCTAGGTAACTCCGAGACTCTTAACAGACACATGTGGCTGTCCTTTGGGCTTCTCCCACATATTTCTCTGCATATTGTTGTTAACTTGTTTATCTGTGACGAACCGGACCATCATAACCTCTTCAAAATATTCAAGTTTGAGTCTGAGGGTCTTTCTGTAATTGACAGAAGAGAAGAGGCGGAGTACTCTTACTCAAATTCAGCACATGCAGAAGGGAATTCATATTTATTACTATACTTCTTTCTGAATCTTTTTTTTTTCTATCTTTGGACAGTTTCAAATCAGCTTCAAGTAAAGTGGGCTTCTTCCCATTGGAATAATTGGTTACTATCATGATGGTCATTTATGATGTCCCGTTCTTCATATATAGCTTAACAATTTGTACTCATTTAATTTTTTCTGACCAAGACCCTAGTTAGTAAGATTTTATTATTCTTTTTACTATGAACTAATACATTATAATTGATGCTTACTTTTGAAAAATGAACAGAATTTAACTGAACCAGAATTCTTTCAAGCATTAAACTTCAACCCGGGAACGACAAATATAGCCTGGATATCACTGAATGCTAAAATCAGCCTCTTCTCCCCCTAGTTCATTGTGCGGTTTAAAATTCTTCTTCTCAAACAAGAAAGTAGCTAAACAAAGAGAAGCCTAGGGAACAAAAAAATCTTTAGCGTACATGAAGATCATGGCTAATTGTAGAGTCAACTTGCCGGGGTAAAAGCTGGGCTAGTTTATCAAAAATCATTGACTTTATACATACAGTATTCATAAGTATTTTCTCTGATATGACAGTACCATAACATGTTGCATGATTGTCACATCAACTTTTGCTAAAATCCTGATTTAGTTTTTAAGACCGCTAGATTAACTGCTAAGATAGAAGCCTTCGACACCCTTTAGTGATGATTAGCACTTAGTTATATACAACTAAGCAACTTTACTTTATAGAAGGCTGCTTTCCTTATTGCAAGTACAAATTATTGAACTTAGATAAGATTAAGCAGAAGCTCATGTGATAAGATTAAGCAGAAGATCATGTGCTGTCGGTTAACTCTGTTCACAAATTTTCCTTTCATCCAAAAGGTATTTGAAACTTTAACAGTGAGGCCTCATGTGCACAGTGCTCATAAATTGTTTTTCCATTTGGTTTATGTCATTAAGAGGATGATGAAACAACACAGGGAGCTCTTGACAATGATGTAACACAGCATTTAGATCTCTTTCCTTTGTAAATTTGATAGGGACTTGCCAACAGTTCATGAAGCTAAATGCTTCAGCCATAAAACATTGAACCTCTCTCTTACTAAAGGCTTGTCCTGTATTTCACAGGACACGGACACTAACCTGAAAGGGAATTCGACAACTAGCAACAAAATCATGACTTGCCATGTTTGGATAAGGAAATGAGACAAAAGAAAAAAAAAGTGGCTCAACCATAAGAAGGAGGGCTTTGGAGGATTATTTGGTGGAATCCTATTCACCTTCTCATCACTTGTATGAAACTGTCAGATAAGGAAGATGTCGCAGTAAAATATTTTCCCTTCCATTATCTCCAATCCAAAGTACTCTAATTATTATTTTTCAATTAAAGTAACATGTATGCGAAATATACTATGTTGAAATCTAAACTATAGTCATAAAGATGAGAAGCTTTCTCCACAAGCCTAACCAAAAGAGGCTTAATTAGAAGACAAAGCCAGAGACAGGACAAAGTTAGGTGTATTTAATCTTAGCAAGAATAAAGTCCCACAAAGAAATCCGTAGAAATCTTTGTTAATTGAGGGTGCTTCATGACTTATAAAAAATAGTGAGTTTTCAAAACATCAAGTATTCAAAAGCCACATTAGACCACAATAGTTTATTTTGAAGATGTATAGATTCACCCCCCCAAAAAAAAAAAAAAAACTAACATTGCCCTCTTTTAAGACAAAGTAAATTACACAGATTTTTCTTGAGTTTTGCAGAAATTCAGAGAATGTCCAAGACTATACATGTTTTACGGAAGTTTTGACTGAAAACAAGTTAGTACACTGTATTGAACACAAAAAACCAAAGAACTTTGCAACGTGGGGATGACTAATAATGCAGGGTTAGATACATGCATAATGCAGATAAACAGATTACTTGTTCGGGACAAAAAGATTGTGGGAGAAACAATGCATTATAAGGAAGAACAAAGATAATTTTGGAGGGATCAGGATTTATATGGCTGTGGTAGCCACTAGTTGTACTAATGTTTGATGATGATTTAGATACAAACATCCCCAACCAACTTTTCCAACAATACTATGTATGTGTCTGTTGGGTGAAACTTGACTATTTGTGGCATCATAATCGGATTAGCCCTCCAACCAATTAACGTTTTGATTAGAACGTTTACATATCCCCCAAATCTCGCAATTCTTTCCATGCACTATCACTGAAAGAAAAAATCAAAACCAGTAACTCTTCTTTGCTTAGTGCTGCCATTTAATTTCCTGCAATAATTTTTAGTGATGATTGTCAATTTTAGCGAGCATTTGTTCTCTCACACGCAAGCGCGCACACTGTTTTTATTGTCCTTTCCCTTTCTTTTGCTTTATATGTAGATCGCTATAAGCATTATTGGTTTTTTTTTTTGGCCTATGTTCGTTCCAATTATTTTCAGCACAGCGGCCCGGGAAACCATACATATCATCAGATTAACAGCAATGCACAAAGCCTTACGTTTCTAACTTTTCTACTTTCGGAAACTAATTATCTGTGTTATATTATCAGGTACTAAAATTTCAGGGTTTAAAGTTGGCGTCTTCCCCCCCCCCCCCAAAAATGTTTTAAAGAGATTATCCAAATTAACTTTAGACCATCTCTATATAACAATTTTTTCTTGACTTTTAATATTTCTTTTTTCAATCTGAAATATGTATGACGTAGAATGAAAGTGGGTTTTTTTGACTGCAGCATATAAAAATTGATGCTTGATATAAATCAAAGTTGAAAAGATATTAAATCAAATAATTTATATTTTTTATTTGAATGACTCAAAATTTGAAGAGTAGGAGAGAATGAAAGAAAGAAGTGAAGGAGTTGGTTTTAGGTCAGATTTCTTGTTTTAGGTTCAGAAAAAAATAATTATTGTTTTTGCTTACTAATAACAGAAGATTAATTAGCGTGCCTTTGAATTTTTCAAGCCGCTTCACGTGTTATAGATTGAGCTAGCAGCCTGCAAAATTATTCTAGGAATTTATTTGGCAATTTTTGTTCAATGGATTAAGTGTTATAGTTTGACTAGTCATAAAAAAAGTCAAAATCTTTACAATCAAATGGTCAAAATTCAAAATTTCGTTTATATACCCTCCTCAGTGTTCTTTTCTTTAGTTAAAAGTCACATTGTTTAAAGAACTTCCGTGGGAAACAGCACATGAAATGACATGGCAAATCTTGAGGTAGACACTTCTTTTTTTCCACTTCTAGGGTTTTTGTGCCCAATTTTACAATATGTTTTCTTCTTAGGGTGTATCTTCTTCTTCTTTTACTTTTTTTTTTTTTTTTGTATTTGTACAGAAAAAGTCAAATTCTGAGTAGTATTAAGAAGTGGTAATAATAACGGTATTATGGAGAAGCCCCTCTTCATGAACTTCTTCTAAACAGCCAGCATTATTAGTAAAATCAGTTATGCATATGTTAAATGAGATTTATTTGTTAATCATGTATTGCCTTCAATTTTACTTTTCACATTTTAAGCAAGAACAAAGTCTGATCACATTGATATTTTTTCCCAGAATTTAAAAGAAGAAAAAATTGATGAAAAGTCCCATTAAGTTATATTGGTTAGAAGGACCTGATGTGTTTTGTACACACACAAAAAAAAAACATTTGATACTTTACAGAATTTCATACACAGAAAATGTTGACACTTGACTTCTGGTTTTGGTCTTTTTAGTAGCAAAATAGTGAAGATATTTATTGTATTATAAGAATTAATATTTTAAATGAAAAGAAATTTGAGGAACCAAAACTTATGGTTTAAAATTTCAGAAATCAAAACTAAAATAATGACAAATTTAAAAGGCAAAAAATTGTATTAACCTTATTTCAAAAATAATGGAATAGAAAAATCCTTTGAAAAGTTTCAACGCATGCGTGACAATGCATAAAGTGGCAAGACAAATGCATAAACTATACAAAAATTACTTCATTGCATAAATCAAGTCGGTAGGTGCAATAGTTGTTAGAAAAAGATACAATAGTCGTCAAAAGGGCAAAAATCTTCCCAAAAAAAAGTGGGGATGAAGAATCTTAAAAGGAGTTAAAGCATGTAGTCATGAAAAAGTAACTACCTTTGTGATACGCCCAATTAAAGGTTTGACAAAAATAAAATCAAATAAAATCAAAGAAGAATGGAATTGATAATGTGTTTGAACTCTCGAGCTAAGTGAAACACAATCACAGCTAAGACAAAAGCTATTGAAATAGTGAGTGAATGACATGCGACATTATTCAAAGCACTTATCTTTTTTCTTTAGTTAAAGTGTGCCTTATTTTCTTTTCAATTTTTGTTTTAGAACACAAGAAAGACACCTATGTAAAGCAATAAGATTGTTCCCATGGTAACTAGTCTTTTCCTTTTCCTTTTCATATCTAAGTTGGAAACAAAAATTATGACTTTGAAACAACCCCCAATTCTTAATATAACGTTCAGTTAACTTATTTAAAAATATTAAAAAAGTTATTAGATTAATTAATTATAGCATATATTACATGATCTCTTTAAAATATTTATGTGTATTATTAGATTATATATAAATTTATAAGTAAGACAAAATAGTTTTAAAAAATAGATATAAATTTTTTAAAATCATTTAGTAAGTTTTTTTAATTTTTTTAAATTAGCCATTTGTGTTTTATATTAAAGATGGAAAGTAGCACATACACAAAGTAGCTTCATGTAATTCAAGCCGATTTGGTTGGTTTGGTTACTGCAAGTCCAGTAAGTGTTGTTAAGTGTTTTTTTTTTTTTCCAAACTAAAGTATATATATCTTTTTATTAGAGGTAATAATATTCAAAACATTATCGGGTACTATATGTAGATACCTCTTTTAATAGGAATTTAAACATTATCTCGTCATATTATGAGGGACTAATCTTTTCTGCTAAACCCAACTCCCGTTGATGAGTGTTGTTAAGTTTAATTCAATGATTAGGTAAAGAATATTTCAGAACAAACAGGACTGGATTGGCCCAAGAAGACAGATGGAGTGATTTGGCCCAACCTTGTACTTTTCTGTTTAAAGCAATTATACAGATTTACATAGAAATTTTTCATTATAGCTTTATATGAATTTATTTTATTTTCTATGAACGAAAAGTTAATTAAAAAAACAGTCTAAGACACGGGGTACGGACCAAGTTGAAAGTTGAAACTTGAAACACCACGCTTGACTTTTTCACTTTATTTTTCAGAAGTTAACTGGACAACCTTATTCGAACCCAACCAAAAAGGTGGCCAAAATTTTTTCAAATTCTTTGTTTTTTAACACTTCAACACCAGCTGGACAGATTCACAGCTCGCTAATCAAATGTTTGATTTAGTAATTTCGTTCGCCCAAAACAGAGTGGGATGAGATTTTCCATCAATCGTGTCCCTGCCTACCGAAACCATACCATTTCCAACATACACATATATTTTAAAGTTGGGGACCAAGTTGCTCTAGATTTTGAAAGAACATGGATGCCGCTATTTAAGAATCTACCTCAAGATCAGGTTAAAAAAACAATCTACCTCCAGAATATCACACCAAAAAGACAAGATTTTTCTTTTTTTAGCCAAACCAAATATCACAAAAAAATTGACCTCTAAGGTATACGGTGATCACAAAATCTGGGCACTCAACCATCATCTAATGCTAATTATTTGTTTTGAGTAGCCTAGAATTTTCCGTGCCGATGATTGGATTCTTCACAGATAATCATCACATGGGCTCATTGATTGTTGTTGGGTTTCTACAGAGAACGAGCTCAATAAGTTGATCAAAACTTCACTTTTCTTTTTGGGCCTAAAACACTCTTTCAGAAACATAAGCTTCATCTGACGACTGCATACAACCTTAATTTCCTCAAACATGCCATGTAACTGAAAAATTTTTCTCAGTCTGCTAAATTCATCTCAGGTAAGTTCCACTTTGAAAGTTCACGACAGAACTTTCGACTCAAAGTAATATTTCTATAGATTATACATTAGTCATCAATGAGACTCTCCAATTTGACAACACATTCAAGCCCATGCTTTTGTCAGGTACGGGTTGGATCTTTATTAATTGAATCAACCTTATTGATTGATTGCAGACTCCTACTAGATTTGATAATTAATTTAAAACAAAAATATTTTATATGTGAATAGGATCACATTAAGAGCACTGCAACATAATGAACAATATGGCCATGAAAGCTATGCCTTGCAAGCATGATCATGAGATAGACAGCACAATGAATTCAACTGACATCCGAGAACAACAAAAACCCATGGTTCTGCAAACAATAAAGATTGAAGATACCAAAACCTAAGTTGTAGCTCAAAGTCAGTGCTCGGATTTGGCTGGTTTCGCATTTTTACCATAGTATTGCAGAACAAATGCAAAGCCCAATATCAGCAATGGGATCAGATACTGCAACACCTTGAGTCCAACTCCAGAAGATTGGTCACGAGCAGCAGCAGGAGGTGGTGGTGCTTGTCTTGGTGGCGGCGATCGGTATTGTGGCTTTTCTGGAAGGGTGCTGGTGTCAACGTTTCCAATTAGGTACTTTTCCATCATCTCCCTTGCAGAGTCACTGTGACCTACGTCCTCAAAATCATCTGTGGCATCCTTCTCTGTGAAACGTCACAAAATTCTTAAATCCTGTTTGGCCTAGCAGTATAGTGTATGACCAACAAAGCACTTATTTGCTAAAAGTGATTATTTCCCTTTTAAGTTTTGATACGTTTTGCTGAGAAATAAAACTACAAAGTCTTCCCTTTTTAGCTGGGAGAGAAGCTGGAATGTGCAGCTTCTCTTTAGGAGTGAGAAAGATTTTTTTTTTTTTTAAACAAAAAATCTCACTAGGTATAAAAACTTGGAAATATTATCCAACTTTCTACTTCTTTCAAAAACGTATTTACAAATTACTTACCAGCAGCCAGCAACAGAACTTCATCACCTCCTGGATGTTCTTCCAAAAATGGGGTGACATCATAAACCTGTTGCAATTAAATGCATGCAAATTAATAAAAGATTTACATGAATATAGGATAACAAATCTAGGAATTCTACCTCAAATTTTATAATAGCAACACAGAAGGTCAGAAAAAGAGAATAAGGGGAGAAATTACAGCAGCTGCAAACTGCAGATGCTAAAATTCAGTGGTTTCAATTATATGACATCCAAAAGCAAATGTAAGTATACTGTATCGCATTCTATTCCATGATTTGTGACAGACAGGGATATGCGATTCTGTCAACCAAAATCTGCAATGAAATAATGAGTAACAAGCATTCAAGCACTTATTCACCTCAACAAAAAATGTTCAAAACGAATTAGGGAACTTATGATTAAAATTGATAGACTAAACTATATTGTGCCTCTTGACTAACTTATATGGCTCTCCAATGAACAATTCTCGTTCGCTGGTCTCAGGTCTGTGTCTGCATGGCTACAAACATAGTATGTATTACATTTCTTAGATGCCACAAATCTAATTTGCAGTACACCGCTAAATTTTTAACTCCCACTCACAAATACTTTCAAAAGACAGTCATCATGCAGCAGAAGGAAACAGTACAAATTCAGCTTTATTCAATGGTTTGTCCCTTAACTTGTTGGTAACAATTATAGTTAGTAGCAGAGGTGGGGTGTTTAAATGAAGACAATCACACCACATAAGAAAAAGGCTCAAGACCTTGATAAATTGCAGGACTACCCAATCTTCTTGTTCTGTTCTACAGCTCTAAAACACTTTAGTGAGAAAATCTCGTTCACAAGATAACGACTTTTCCCACCAAAGCCACTAAAAGAAAAGGTCAAAAGGCTTTCAAAACTTGTTGACTTGCAAAATCAGGCAATTATTTTGGCGTGTTACAAAACTTAAATGAGAAAATATTGTTTCAGAAATTATAATTTCTCACATCAAAATCACATGTGGCAAAGGCTTTCCAACTTCAACAAATAAATCATAACCTTCAGAAGTATCTATGCAGATATTATTCTTAGCAGCCCTGAGTCGTCTACTCAAGTGGTTTCTGACTTTAAGAACTGAGCTACTCAAATTCTAGAATACAGAAGTATATTTTACGTACAGAAATTTTACTCCCTGAATTTTATTAGTCACCTCAATGCCATCTGAAGAAGATTTTACGATTACAGAAATATTATGGATTTCAGAACATATCCACAAAAATTCATTACAAGTTGCTTATAATTGATCATGATTAGAATAAGAGAACTTTCAAACTAACTACATCAGAGTTCACTTATTGGTCACTGTTAAGAGTCAGGTCAATTACAGGAAAACGTCATTTCTACAACTTCTACTAATATCGATATTCACCAAGCTTAAGCATTATCCTAAGGGTCAACGATCCCAATTAACAGAAACGACCAATTCAAGGACGGAGGGTTCTCTCTTTCAGGGGCCATGCATAAATTTTTGTTTTACCTGAAACCCCAATCTCAAATACACACCAGAGCATATGAAGTCATCCAGGATCATTTCACGGTCAAATCTAGTACTAAAAGATCTTCAATTCAATAGTATTTGATAATATTCAAATGAATAATCAGCGTTTTAGCGCAAACCCAACTCATCTTGCGAAACTGAAACAGAGTACCTCCAGATAAGCAGCTCAACAAGAAACTAATGATACTGAAGTGAAGCCATTATACAAAGAAACCGACCTTTCCATCGATTATAATCCAGCAATCGTTTTTATGATTGTGTTTAGCCACCTCCTCAAAAGTAAAAGTCTTTGAAGCCATTGCTTCCTCTTTCACTGATCACAGAAAGTTAACAGAAGCCCCACGCACAAATTATTCAGAACAAATCATGCAAGAACCAAAAAGAAAGCTTGATACCCGAAAAATAAAAAAAGAATCTGAAAATCAAGTGAGACTTCAGATAGAGAAAATCACAGAAATTGATGAGAAAAGTGAAGATGAAGAGGGTTACGCAGAAATTCTCTTTTCGCACCAGGTGATGGAGATGGGCTCCCCAACAGCAGACTCCTCTTTCCCAGAAGCGTTGAGGTGTTTCAGAATTTATACATAGTACGAAACTACGTCGTTGGAAGCATCCTAATTAACGCTGACCCCATTCGTTGCTAAAATATACGGTTCAATGAATGGAATCTTCCAGAGAAAATTGATGAATGAAAGAAAAGAAAGAGAAGACTGCAAACTTTGCATTGATGGTTTCATACAATTCACATGGAAATCACTAAAAATTTTCAGAACGAAATGTTCATGTACTAGTAATTATCATCATTATCATTTATTGGTATTTAAGGGGATTTGGTCTTGAGGATCGTGGGATCCGTGAAGGAATATTTTATATTTTATGTATTCAGAGTTTCAATGTTGAATTTGGGCGGTCAGATTTCCATTAACGTTCAGTGTTGTGATGATATTTTCCCCTCTAAATCTTGTAGAAAAATTAAGGGGCCATGCGGAACACGCGCCTTGTTTTATTACAATAAATAGACACAAGTGCATTTGGCATTTTTACACCAAATGTAAAAGGCTCTGATGTACGCTTCCTAACGCTGGTCAAAAAAGATATACGATTCATAAAATAATATAATTATATTATATTTTGTATTTTATATTACTTTCTTCCTTCCAGTCCTTATTATAGGAGTCATTGCAGAAGAAAATTTTTGTCCTTTTTATAGCATTGAATACTCTTTTTTTTTTTTTTTATATCTATCCATATTCAATTAGGGTAGAGAGGGAATAAAAATTAATATAATGTTAAAATTTAGTATAATTAATAAGGATAGTATTAGAAATTATTGTAACAAATTTAATACTTTTAACTGCTTTTATTGATACGAGTGTGAATTAGTTAGTGGGTTCTTATAACAAGGATCAGAAATTAATATACTCAAAAATTACTAATATTAATTAATACTGATATTATTTTAAAAAAAATCAAGATATCAATATTATTATTTATATTTATTAGAAATCAATTTGCTTAACAAGAAGATTCTATCAACAAAAGGATTTGATACCTTTCAATAGAGGATTGGAATGTCTTTTAAATTGGAGGGAAAAAATTTCCTTTATTTTAAATTTGATTGGACTCAAATTTATATTAGCCTGTCAAATTAAAAAAAAAAATCCTTTGTTTAAGCGATGAGCATTTTTTTCCCTATACTAGAAGGATAGAACGGTTTGACATTACAGGTGAAGTATAATGAACATACAATCTCTCATTTATAAACGAGCATTTATATTATTAGGTTATAAGACAATTATTTATAAGAACTGCTTAATATAAATACTTATGAGCATTTTTATACAAGTCGAAATAAAAGCTGTTCTTACATATTTAAATTGTATTTTGTAAATTATGATTAGAAAATTATTACCATGTAATTAAATAAGCCAATCGGACCGCATTGCCCTTAATTAAACTGACGAGTTTTAAATGTTGGAAAAACCTGGCGAGTTCAGTCCCCTTAGCCTTGTTTGATATCTTGTAATTCATTTTCAACACTGTTCTTTTTTTTTTTTTGCGAACATTTTTTCAACACTGTTACTTGAATTAACTTTTACCAGGTTTCCCCCGCCCTAACTAATAAAGTTACTGTAGTTAATTAGCCTGTGTTTTTAATATTATTTCCTCCAGACCTATTTATAAGCTTTAAATTTAGAAATGGGTCTGGCTGTGTGGTTTATTTTATAAGTTTCAATTTAATGCTTGTCTTAATATTTAATGCATTTTTTCAATTTGAACTTCAATTATTTATTCTCTCTTCTTATTGTAATCTCCATTATCACATTTTTCCACACGTTCTCTTTCATCAATTTTCTCATTTATTATAAAGTTATATTTAGAAACAAAAATATATTTCTCACTTATTTATTGTTTTTAATTAATTTAAACTAATTATTTGTTATCCGCAAATTAATTATTTGAAGCTTATAATAAGGACTTAACAGAGTATTTCCTCACTAGTTTGTCTCGTTGTTCCTGATTCCTTTTCTTTTATGATGATGATTCTGATTTTTTAAGATATTTATTTGTTTTTATTATGAAATTACTGTGCTTAATATTGTGGATGTGGTCTGTTTTCTGCCTGATACACTAATACTTCATAAATTAACTTCATTGATATTTAACAATTTCTTTCATGAACTCTTCTTAACCAATAAATACGTTGTAGAATTTGTATTTATTTAAGTCAACGTTCTTACAAGATAAAATTTTAAGCATCTACTTGACACTGAATAGTGAATATAGAGTAAAGATGTGAGAGTTAAATTTTTTTTAATTCAATCTTGTCCCTTCTCGATTGCAATATTGGCAAATTGTTGATTCATAGACAACACTTTCATTGTGGTCATCAATTTCAATTAATGGCAAAATTAAAAAGTCACATACTTTTCTCCAAGTTTAGAGATATTAATACCACCCTTAACAATCATGAAGTTGATTAACTTTATTTATAATTAAAACGGGAGGGAGTAACATGGATAAGTCTAATAGCACTTGATCCTAGTACATCTAACCTCAACTTATATTGTCTCAATGTAATATAAATTGAACCGTATATTTATGATTAGAAATACTAACTCCAGTCCTAATTATAAGAGCCAGTTGACTAATTTGAGAAAATTAAGAAAAGAAGTTAAGTTAGTTATTTATAATAAATAGGTGTTGTCTTTTTTAAAATATTCTTACTAATCAAGTATGTTGGCTAAAACTATAATTATTAGAAGGACTGTCTTAGAAAAAATTTAGTAAATATGAAAGATAAAATATATCGGAGTCTTATATTTAGAACCAACATAAAAGTCAAACATAGTCTTATATTAAAGATCGGAAGTAGTAGTGTACTATTTTGAAATTAGGTTGTCATTATTACTGATACTTCTTGTTCTAAGGATTTTTAAACATTTGTTGTACTGTGACATTTCTTGCCAATATTTTGATATATGAAAATACCTATATTAAGTTTCTTATATTCATTATATCAAGTTTTCTAATTCTACATGGATATTTGTGCTACTCATATGCGAAAACACAGAACACATGGTTATATATATGTGGAGGACTTGACAAAAAAAATCTGTTTGAGGAGCCGGTTGTTGCATATATTGTGAAAACATATGTACACAATATGTTATCTTTCTTAAAAAATTTACTGGTAAGATCAGATGAAAATTAACCTCATAGTTTCATATTAGAAACTGACATCATAGTCACGCATCATAAACTTTGGCCAATCACGTTAGGATAAAAAACAGGAAGACGACAGATGATGAGGATAGAAAGTACTAAAAAGACTTGGGAAAAAAACAGAGCGCGATTTTATTAGAGTGCTTTCATGTCTTGTTTCAAGTGTTCGGTAAAACAATATTTTCATTGCCACAAAGTAAATAATCAAATATGATAATATGCTGTACTTTTGAGTTAAGAGGAGTGAAACCAAATCTAAGAAGAAAGGCTAGCACAATATTTGAGATACAGAGATATATTTATCAAGAAAGACGAGGTAAAGTTTTAACCATGAAAACATAGTAAGATCTGCAGTTATTATAAAGGCCAATTGTGAACCGGAAAAAGTGCATAATAATGCAGAAAGAGAAGATATGAATTACAGCCACAAATATCAGAGACAATCACAGTCAGGCTACAACGATGTTCAGCCAGAGAGAAAGGAAAGAGACCAAACGCAATATAGGGACATGGCAAAGGAGAATCACAGGGTTCAGCGCATTGTTCTTACAATACACAATGAAGTACCTAATCTTTCTTACGTTTCATTAACAAAAATAGGTTTCCAGATAAACAGAGATTCTAGCTTCAGAGCTGAACCAACTAGCTTGCACCTGAAACAGCACAAAGAGCAAAGAGACAACAATTTAAATCCAATATCTTTGCTGTTTTAATGCAAATCAACTCACAGCATTCCTGTGCGTGTGTGATGATGAATAGGAAAGAGGGGTCGCAGCGTCTTATCAGTAAGTTGAAAATTCAAAGTGAGAAGTAGTAGTAGTAAGTTCAGAGACCTTGTAAAATGCTTATCATGTCACCTTGATTTTACAGCACCAAAGCAGAAGTGACAACTACCATAAGGAAAAGTGAAGTGATGATTTATGTTTATTAAAAGGTTTTCTCATGGATGTCCATATCAGATATATTAAGAAAAAATTTCCATGTAAATCACTCCACAGCATTATCGCTTTATGTCTTACCCAAAACCCATGACTTATCATTCCCAAAAAAAAAAAAAAAAATCATGTAGATGTTTCTATGTGTAGGTATATAATATATGTAAAGTTGGTGGCTTTTATTCGTGTTGTTGGAAGATGACTTGATAAACATTGATCAATCTCTTTAAAAAAATCGTCGGCCAAAATTTTAAAAAAAAATCTTAAGAAATTCATTTTGAAAGCTGCGCATGTAATTCTTTAGGAATCAAAACAATTTCGGTAATGAAGTTGGACAGAAGGAAGATATTTTAAATCAGCTAATGAGCTAATGACAACATAAGTTAATCCCCCCATCTCTCAACACGCAGATAAATTTAAACTATAGTATGAATTTTTCTAATTATAAGTGCTACCTATTTCAGAGAATTTTGAACTATGTTAAAACAAATTTGCAAAACTACGCTTCTCAATACTTAGTCAAATATATTATTAGTTAATTAACAGAACAAATGTCAAGAAACTAGAATGCAAACGGGATTTTCCATGTTAATAGAGATAAAGCGAATGGATTTGTCCCCACATTTCACTCCCACCAGCATTTTAGCAGGCAAAGATGGCCAGAAGCAGATTCCATGGCCAGAGTTATAATAGAATCTCTTAATGTATGGCACATTAATATCAATACTCAGTTGATGATTGATTCACTGACGCTATATCAGATAATCAAGATGTGGTTCTAATCCTTGCGTACGTACACCAGAACAGTATAAGCTGTCGCTAAAAATTTCTCCCGAAATAGAAAGCCAAAGGGACGGTTTGATCATCACCTCGGTATACGGAGGATTAGAATGTGATTATTTCGCCCTTCTTGGTTGGACGTTTCATGGTGATTTTGGAGGAGGGTCCCATGGAATAGAAAAGATTATAATCAAGCTATCACCATGGAAAATGACACTTGGGAAAGAGGCTTTTCAGTCCTGCATCTAGCTTGGGACATGCAGGCATATATACAAGAATAGTAGGTAGAAATATGCCAAGCTAGGCTAGCTTGATGGATATTGGAAAGCTCTTGTGGTTCTAAGAGGAAGGTCTTGTTAGGTATAGTGATAATGTTCTCTTGTTAGTTAGCATATAATTTGAATAAAAGGACATAAACAAGAGAAACTTCAAGCAAAGAGGCATTTCACCTTTCACGCCTACCCAAAATCGTTCGCACTAAGACCAAAAAGTTTAAAAGAATGTGAAAGTGCTTCCATTTCTGAATTTCAAGATAACGAAGTCCGTTAAACAATTTTTGGAAGCCCAGGTTATAAATTAAGAATAGAAACCCTTCACTTTTTTTCATAACTAAGAACTTTCAAGACTTCCAACTTCAATTTTTTTTTTTTTTAAAAAAAGAAGAGTAAAGCCATTATAAAGCCAGTAGGAAGAAATGGAGAAAAATAGAAGTTGGAGCTGCCATACCTTAAATTGGAAGCAAAGTAGTAGAGTCACTGGCTTCTTGATCTTCCTGGTCCGCTGGTTTGAGATTCTTAACATCAAGCTCTGGATGGATTTTCTTCTTTAACATCTTCTTCATCAGCTACAACATTACAAATTGTTTGATCAGATGAATTCATGCGAATCCCATAATCAAATGGAACTCCCTAACAATGTTCCTTGAACTTAAAAGTTTCTAACTGCCAAGGACAACAAACAAATTTTAGACTGACCAAGCTTTCCCAACTTCAAAACAGTATTTTTCTACTCATTGAACAAAGCGTGAGAGTGAGAGGCATGATTAACTTACTCGCTGTATATTTTTCACAGGGTGTGAATTGTCCTTCGCAAGTGGAAAGAGCTTCTTGGTGAATGACAGTCCATGCTTTGATTTAAGGCTTGGTTTTTCATTTGGCTCAAGCAAAACTTTTGCAGGGTCCATTTTCATTTTAACATCAGAATCGGCCAAGAAGAGGTCAGCTAAGGTGATTCTTTCCCCTTTCTTCTTCCTTTGATCAGTCTCCCCAGGGCTTAATTCAGTGATTTCATGAGATAACACAGTGGGAATCAGAAAATTCTCATTGAGGGCCATAGCCATGCTGTGTTCACTGGCATTGGTACTGTGATTTGGTTCAAAAACATCCTCATAGTTATGCTCAAATGCGTTGTGCATCAACGGATTCAGTTCTTCATGTTCAACATTATAATCCACATCGTCATCACCATCAACAATGACGTGCTCTCCTTCACCTTCATGATCCGGTTCATCTTCACTTTCCAGAGCTAAGTATTCTTTCTGTTGGTTAAAGGACCTTAGGGGATCATACCCAAGGGTTCCAATGGTCAGAATGCCATCTTTCCAACCATCAAGGACATCACCATGGGCAATTTGTTTGAGTAAAGCTTGACTATCCGTATCGTTCAGCGTAGGTTCAGTCTTTGCAATGTTTGAAGCGAACCTATCTGAATAAAAAGGGAAAAGATTCAAAGTGAACATTAAAGGCAAGGAAATCAATTAGATAAATCATATGGATACCATAATGGAACTTTGTCTTTGGATTGCATCCATATATGGAAACTTCACAACGCAAAACGTGGGCATTTTATTTGAATACTCGAGAAATTTGAAACCTTTGCAAGTGCTATGATGAAACCTCCTGTGCACCCAGTTGAAGATCTGTGACAAACATGGAAATTAAGAAGGCAGAAAAATTTAGAGGTCACATGAGACATTGTGCTCATTCTAAAAGCCTAAAGAAAAAGTAAGAATTGATTATGCATGAGAAACAAAAAATGGGTATATGCAGAGTTGCAATCACCTTCATTGCGTCTCTTTTCCTGAAAGTTGGCCAGAGAAGCTAAGAAATTGCAGAGTGACTCAGTGAAGGGAAAACATTATGAGGATCAAGGGTTGAAAGCATAAAATGGGCCAACTGGGTGATGGCAATAAAGTAAAGCCACGTGTCCCTGGAGTGGACCCCTTAGTCAACCACATTTGCCACCACCAATGTTGGGTCTCTCTGGGATTTAGCGATGTGCCGAAATTCTCAAAATAATGTGCTACTAGTTAACTCCCCCCCCCCCGGGGAAATTCCCTGTTTGGTTGTACTTCCTGATGAGAAATTCCATGTTGCAATAGGCATGATAATCCACTGGAATCATGCAATTTGTTTTCACCTGAGGGTCCATACGGGATATGACTCAATAACTATTTGATCATTTTAACATACATTTGGTCTGCAATTCTTACCAGTTAATTAATAATCAGCCCGGTTAGTCCCTGAAATACGCTGCAGAGGATTAATGACATGAAACTGATCACTCAATGAGAGATGTGAGACGTGCAGATTGGGTATGCGACAGAATTTTACTCGGGTGGGGGCAAAAAGTAGCACTGGGTTCCGGCTTCGGTGGAGATCAGGGATATCAACAGATAATAGGGGGAAATTAACTGAACCTGATCTCTAACTCATCTAGAAAAGGTAGAATTTTCTTCTTCTTTTTTAAATACCAAGAAAAGGTAGAATTTGAATAGCATGTGAAAATACATGCAAGTGAACTTGATGGGGCCAAGTGACTGAATGTGGTCTCTGACCTAGTTAAGTGGCTAGCAGCCCAGTACGGCCCCACCCAAACATAAACATTTTTCTTTCTTGCTTGATTTTTTTTTTTTTTTTGCGAAAACTAATTATTCATTTAATCACTGATATATGAACTACTTACCTAATTTTTCTATAAAAATAAGGCATGTCTCTAATTCTAAAAAGCTCTTACAAATGAATTCACAAATCACTAATAGTGAGATTTAAATTTACCAACAAGGCCCAAATCCAACGACACCTAACTAATCTCATATTAGAGGCTGGGTAGAGTGTTTTGTAGCATTATTTTTCTGGATTTTTTTTAGTGATGTACTCCTCCGGTCCTAATTATAAGACCCAATTGACTTATTTGAGGAGATTAAGGAAGTAGTTAAGTTGGTTATTTATAATAAATAAGTGTTGTTATTCCTAAAATATCCTTACTAATTAAGTATATTGGCTAAAACTATCATTATTAGAAGGATTATCTTGGAAAAAAATGCATAAATATAAGAGAGAAAATGGATTGGGTCTTATAATTAGGATCAAATAAAAAGTCAAATTGGGTCTTATAATAAGAACCGGAGGAGTATTGTTTTATTATCACCATAGATATTTCTCACCCGAGAGACCAACAACGGATAAAATTTTTTTTCCCAATAGTGACTCAACAAATGTCATTTTTAAACAAATGTAAAAGAAATAGTCTTGGCTAAAAAGCTACGCAGGTGCCCTGTTTTGCCGGGACACATCTCACCTCTCAAAGCAAGAAGGATTGAATATTATTCTGGTTAGAAGATATATAGAAGCACCTAGCCCTTTACAATATGAGGAATTCATTGATAGGGAATTTAATTATAAGTAATTTTATAAATATTTTTTAAATTCTGAAATTGGTTATCATTCTAATAAATCCTTAAAATTTATTCCCACTCTATAAATATTTTCAGGCATGCATTTAATTCAAACACTAGCCATTTAAAAAAGAAAGGAAGAAAAGAAAAGAAAGGAAGAAAATGGAGAAGGAAAGCGGGGGTGCATATGGGCTGTCAAACATGGGTGCGTGTGTCCCTAAATGAGAAGGCAAAAGCATCATAGAAGGTAACGTGAAAGTACTTTTGCACCCTTCTCTTTTGCTTCATTCCCAAACGCACCAAAACAACTTCTCTCTTTCTCTTCTCCCTACCCTTATAATAACATTCAAAGTACGTAATCCTCAAATTGTACCAAGTTTCAACCCCGACATGACACTTCCTCCTATGGTTCCTGTCTCCACCACCAACTATTCTTCTCACCATCACCTCTTCCCAAATTTACATTAATTGAAATCATTATTAGTCATCTCTTAATTACTCATCACTCTTATACAGAATAACATATATTAAGATCATAGTGATGAAGGTGTTGGAAGTGGAAGGAGTGCAGAGTTGTTAGATGTCTGCAATATTCCTAGACTGATATAACATATATTTCTGCTCATTGTTGGGTAATTGCAGCACATGGTACTCTAATAATATTGTCCTCGCTCAATTTCCAATTACTCATTAATGTGGTCATTGTAAACTAGGCATGTGATATTGCTGGTTGTTACTAAGTCACTCGTTTAACCCCTACTTGATCCATTGTTGTCTTCTAGCCAGCTCCTAGCACCCTTTCTACTTTTCTTTTTTTTTTAAAACAAATTTCCTTCTCGTCCTTTTTGACCATCCCCTTCTCATTTCTATTCCCTTAATAAGCTTCCCTTTCCTTTCCCCTCCTAATTCTTTCTCACTTCATTTTACTTGAGCTGAAAATTCAAGGGTCATGAGTCCCACGTTAGAAAAGTTATCTTGAAGTAAGGATCTTATAGGTCATTGAACTCTCCAACTCTAATAACTAGCTTTTGGGGTGTGGTTTTCTTAATAACATTAATTTCAGACATGAGGATGGATCTTTTTGTGTCCTTTTGCACAGGGGGTTTAGGATTGAAGATTAGGATTCCGGGGAACGAATGGGATGGAGGGAAAAGATTCAACTCGTCCTAATAAGATGTGCAGTATAAGACACCGAACTGAGACGTCTTAATTGCTACTCTTATACAAAGAATGACCATGGCCTATGAAAGGGACACGCACCAAACAGCAATATATGACTCAAGGAAATAGACCAATGGACACTGAATCAGATAATGAAATCATCATCAGAAGCTTTGAGTTCATAAACTTCTAACCACTTTTCATCACTCTTTCTGCATTATTATAAGCTGCTTTGGGTGACACCCCTTGTTCCTTCCCTTTACTTTTCCAAACATGTGGTCATTCTTGCTCCTCTTAAGAGACTGCTTTAAATTTGAATCTCATGAATGTTATGGAGAATGAGTGATGAGTTGTATTATTCAAAATATTATCAATAGCATATATAATATTACTTTTGATCCTTAATATAAGAATTAGTTTGGTTTTTAATTTTGTTCTAAATATAAGACTCTAATCCACTTTGTCTCTCATATTTATCTTTTTTTTTTCCCCAAAGTATTCCTTGTAGTAGTGCACATATTAAAGGTTCAATCAAATGGTAGTTCTAACTAATACATATGATTAACAAGAATATTTTAGAAAAAAACAACACCTATTTATTATAAATAACTAACTTAAATAATTTTTTTAATCTACTCAAATTAGTCAGCTAGCTTTTATATTAAGAACTGAAGGTAGTATGCTGCATGGAGTACCAAATTCAAAAAAAAAAAAATCTTAATATAATGTTACATTCTCTTTTCATATCGAAGCTTTGGGATATCTTTTTTAATAAGGTGGGATTCGAACGAACAATGATTGCCCACTTTGTTAACTAGGTGGTCTACTACTGGATCAAGTAGTCTTAGGGATAACTGAATTTGAAGTTTCTCAGATCAGAAAATAATTTTAAGAAAAAGTAGTTTCTCCTTCTGCGTTGCATATGTGTACCACACAAAGAAATCATTGTTTGTCCGCTTTCTACACTGTAAAGTAGAAAAATGCAAGCAAACATGCTCTCATATATGGGCTGATTAGATCACAAAAAGAACGTTGCATGACAGTGAAAGCTGAGATAGACAATGTAGATTTGATGTCCACAGTTTAGATCTAAATCTTATTTTCTATATCGATAATTAGAATACCATTTTTATTATATATTTCATTATCTTTTCAATAGAAAGCATTACAACTTAATAAAAGTTAACAATAAAATATGATCCATTTAAATCAAATCTAAACGATCAGAGAGAGAGAGAGAGAGTGTGTGTGTGTATGCACATGCGTGGTTATACTATTCGTAAATTATAAATATTATGGAGCTCCTAAAACTTTATGAAAATACCAGGTCTAAGCCATTGGGAAGCAGAGGCGGAAGAGGAAAAAAGAAAAGGTTACAATGATAATGATAGTGTTACTATTTGACACCTAGCTACTTGTTTGCAAATGCCTGAAAACACTATTTATCTTTTTAATGGGTCAAAGTGTTGCCATAAAAACAAAGGAAATGCTTTGGATTCTTGGTAAAGCCAAGCTGATATTATCCTTCTAAAGTTGATAATTAGTAGGGTATATGTCCTATATATTTGTGGATATATATGGTCCAGTGGGTCATTTCAAGTCCTTCCATTTTACAAGCTTACAAACTCGCGCATGCCACATGAAAGTTAAAGCAATTTCTGAGGAAGCAAATAGAGGAAATATAAAGATGGCCACCTCTTTAATTTGCTGTCATATGACTTTGAAGTGATGTAACCTGTTCTTTCTTTCTTTGCTAAGCATATATATTTTCTTATTGAAAACAATCCTGTTTAAGGTATTATCTAGCATTAAATATAAGCATCTTTTTCTAACAAAGATTTAAACACTAATTCGCCATATTGTAATAAATGAACTGTTTCTGTTGGACCTAACCCTATTGGTGTTTAAGCATGTTCTTTAATCTTCATAAACAAGAAAAGAAAAGACTTGATGGTTCATTTCCTCATACAATACAAAAGGAAATCTAATTGATTATAAACCAATTTGTAAACTAATTAATTACATCCGACAAAAAATAAACTAATTCAAATTGTACATGTGTATATTTCCCCCTCGGCCCTCCTCATCCTCCTCAAATCAATTGTTATTATACCTCTTAAATCAATTGCATCAATAATGGTCTTGGTCAGGTTGAATGGAAAGAACTCATTTTCTTTTAAGTAAGATGTTGACGTGCAGATTGAAGAAAAAAATGACGTTAAAAGGATTGTCCTTATTAGACTAATAATACTCAAATTTAGCATCATACACCACTAGAAAAAAAAATCTTTTACACTGGTTAGAATAAGCATTATGACATCGAAAAGACAACTAGTATAAAAATGAGCGGTGTTAAAAGTTTTATCTTTTTATACCGGTTGTAGAACTAGTGTAGAATTATTATTTTTAACATCGACTGTTGCTCCAACCGGTGTAAAAAAAAAAACAAAGAAAACGATCAGCAATTTTATGAGAGCTCATAAAGTACCAAAAAAAAACCTAGATTTTATCAGATCTCATAAAATTCAAATCTTATAATACCGCAACAAACAATCCAAAAATCCGATAAATAAGAAATAACGTAAGAATTGAAACAATCAAATCTAATGAGACTATAAAAAAAAGCCAAGTTTTATAGAAATAATATCGATTCATATTGATTCATACAATAAAAATATATTTTTTAGACAAAGTTTAAAATTATTCATTAAACAAACAAATAGGGAAAAAGTATAAATTTAAAACAAATAGCAGTGATGAAAACGAATACAGATCTAGGCAAATATGAGTATTTAGACGACAACACAATGAGAGTTTAAGATAGCACAGATCTGGATGCAATGAGCACAAATCTAGATGGTATGAGTATGGATCTCTACCTGAAAATCATAGAGATATCGATGAACTTGAAAAAGATGACAAGCACATAAAAGATTACGCGCTATAAAGAAGACAAGCACGAAGAAAAATATTACAACACAAAAGAGAAGAGTATGAAAAAGAGGACTAGCATTGAAATTGCTAGCAAATAAAAGTTAAAAAGGAGATTGCAAGAGAACTTAGAGAGATTATGAGAGAATGAAATTTGGTCTAGAAAAGGCAGCTTCAAAATGAAGTAGGTTAAACTTTTAGTTTTTAAATCACCTTCTGAAAGCTTGTAAATATTGTTTTTTAAAAAAATATTTTTAAAATTTTTACACCGGTTGTAATAAATATCCGATGTAGAAAGCATATTTTAAAACAATTGTATGAGAAACCAATCTGAAAACTTATAGATATTATTTTTTGAAAGATATATTTCTAATACTATTTATACCAATTGCAACAACTGGTGTAAAAATCAATCAATATTTACAAAAATACTACCATTCACTTTTTTTTACATCGTTATCGCAATAAACAGTGTAAAAAGTATTATTTCTAGTAATGATGCTATTAGGTATTAAATAGTTGTTTAGAAAAAAACTTGCGTTCAAATATTAAAGCAAACCATGATGTTTTTTGATAAGCAAAGGTATCCTCCTAGAGATAATCATGTTCGAGGCATTGTTTGGCACTAGATTTAAATAGTTATGCTAACAAAAATATAAATATTGATTCATTACATTATAAGAGACTAGTAAATTTTTTTTGTTAAATCCAACTCTCATTAGTATAAACCATGATGTCTATCCAGAGACACGACAACAATGCATGCCTGGATTCAAGTTCCAGGGCTATCTGGGCCTGCGTTCATTGTTTCGGACCTCTCACAGACTGGCCCAGATAGCAAGCCTTGCTGTTGCTTACAACTGTGCAAGGTCAATCTAATGTTTCACATCACACAAAAACCAAGGATCCAAGTTTCTTCAAATAAGGTAACAGTATAACACAGCCAGAGTCAAATGCTTTATCAAAGTTGCAGAAATTAAAATGTATCAGAGTATTTTATATAGGATGTCGAATGATATAACCTGTAAAGTAAAGTATGTATAGCTGGTCAAAAAAAAAAAAAAAAAAGGAAAGTATGTATAGAATTCAATTGATTGAAGTCACAAGGAAAAGGGCAGGACTATATTGGTCACAACAAATTCCATGCAGAACAAGATTACATGTGGCAAAGGCAAACAATAATAAAGGACGGTAACTATGATTTATGACAACAACAATGTTTAGCTGACTACTAGTATTACTTATTTTCTTCATCTCATAACGCAGAATATAAGCCCCTCTCATACAAAAACTAATCTCATGACTGAATCTTTTTAGTTTCGTTTCATTTATTGAAGCACCGGAGAATCTTCATCTTCTGCAGAAGCACAAGAATCCGTCCCCTTTCCTCTCTTGGGCCAATAATGCATCTCAATCTTAGCCTTTTTATTTTTTTCCTCTGCATGTGTGGGTGTGTGTGTGTGCGCGCGCGTATGCGCCTAAACCAGGACAGACACAATTAATCAGACTCCATTTTGAAAATCAATTCTTGTGTTCTTTGATCTGAAACCCATCTGCCAGTGGCTTCTTGGACAGGACAAAGCGGACTCCCGGGTCGTGCTGGGTGCACGATGAGTTGTACATGAGCGAGTTGTTCACGCCCTGCACATTGCTGTTCAAGAATGCTGTCATTGGCAACGAGGATGTTTTTCCTTTGTGGCCCTTTCCCTTCTTCTTGGAATTCTTCCCGTCTCCTTCTTCGCTGGATTTCTCTGATTCAGAACCCTCTTTGATCCCTTTCTTGTTGAGTTTGTTTGGGGATTGAATCACTTCCATGAAAGCTCCTCTGTTTTCCCCTGCAATTGTTATCACCCTCATTCCCGACTCCTCTGCTCTCTTCATCTCTCTGTGTCCTCCGTGTTTCTCATGATGCAGAATGCCGTGTTTCTCACTGTTCACCCTTTGCTTTGGCTTCTCCACGGTCTTCTGAAACAGCACCGTCTTCTGCTCAGCCTCTGCCTCCTTCGGCAGCTCAGTCTGCGCGGGTGGAAGAACCAATGGAGAAGGCGGAGGAGCAGTGATGGGCTTCACCTTCGGCGACTCCACCGTCACAGCCTGAACCGCTGGCTTTATCGTCTTCGGAGACTGGCTTTTACCATTCAAGTCAGATGGAACCGATGGGGGAGCCGAGAATGTCCCCTTCTGTACCGGAGAAGGAACCCTTTGAACAGGAGACGGAGCTTTTTGAACAGGAGAAGGAGCTTTTTGAACAGGAGAAGGCGCTTTCTGAACTGGTGACGGCGGTACAGACCTTCTCTCCACCAGTGGCGGCGGAGGAGCAACAGGTTCCTCCGCAGGAGGCGGTGCTCGCGGCAGCGGTGATGACGGTGCAGAACTTGTCCTAAATGCGGGTCTAACCACCAGGGGTCGCTGCTCTGGCTTTGCTTGTTCTGGTGCTGGTGCAGGTGCAGGTGCGGGAGGGCGTGTCTCAGGTGCCGGCGCGGGCGCCGGTTGCACAGGTCGAGTCTGAGGTGATGAGGGCGCCGAACTCGTCCTAAATGTAGGTCTCACCACCGCAGGCCGCGTCTCAGGCTGTGCTGGCGGCGGTGCAGGTGCAGGTGCAGGCGCGGGCGCTGGCGCAGGAGCAGGCGCAGGTGCCCGCGCGGGAGCGGTTGTCGGTGGCGGAGCAGGAGCGGGAGCGGGTGGAATGGCTCGGAGGGAGGCTAAGCGAAACCATGGACGAACAGGAGGTTGGTTGGCCATGAGGAAAGAAGGGAGGGGTTTGTTGGGGAAAAGAAGAAGAAGAAGAAGACGACCACAAAAATCCAAAACCGGGGATGATGTTATTTATAGAGCCATCCCAAGTTGCAAAAGCTGATATACGTAACATCACAGCCGAAACATGAAAAGAAAGTCGAGATTGAAGGAGAAGGCAGAGAAAAGGCGAGAGCAATGGGAAAAGCATCAGATTCAATAAGCACTTCCAGCTGACACAAACTCAGTTTCAAGATTGGAATCCCATCAACAGAGTCACCCTGAAGAGACAAGTTCGTGTCGGAGGCCACGTTCTTGTTTGATAATTTTTTCAATTGAGGGCTATTAATTTCTGGACTTTTGGCTTCAGAATCAGTCTCTGATTGCGTAGTGGGAATAACAATACAGCTTCCTAGAATGAAGTTGAAAAATTCAGCAAGTATCAGCATCAAGAAGCCAAAAGAGAGAGATTTGATGCCGACGTTAATTTTCTCGAAACATGCATGCAGATGAGCTGAAAACAAAGCTGAGCCGTTCGTTATTTGGAAGGCTGCGGCCACAAGAAAAATATAGTTTTTAGTGGCCAGATTCAATTCAAACCGTTCGCGCCGAAGCTGTTTTGGGGTTGACTCAAGTGTCACGCTTGATTTGAAGTTTAATGAATAAACTAATCATAGGTGCTTAATTCGAATTCACATAGCTCAACTTAAACACACCACTTAAGCAGTTTGTGTAAATTAAAAAATTTAGTTAAGTTAGTTATTTGAAATAAATATAAATTAATTTTTCTAATGTATCTGTTTAATCATAACTACTCGTGGATGAAAATTCTTAATATATGTTATTATTGAGGATATTTTAGGGAGTGAATTATAAATTTGAAAGACAAAATAAATTAAAATCTTATATTTAGGATTAAATTTAACCCTCAATTAGCTTTAATATTAAGGAAATGAGGTAGTACTCCTCCGGTCTTAAATAAAAGTTTCATTTTGTAATAGAATTTACATTATAAAATGAAAGAATATAAAAGTAATTTCACAGGGATCCTTGAAGCGTGTATTGTAAAGATGGAAGCAAAAGAGGAAAAGGTAGAATCGCGGCAAAATGAAGGGGCTTTAGTGTCAGTGGCTTCTGTGTGGCTTCTGCGTGACTTTGCTTGCGGAGTTAGGAAGATGGGGATGCTGCCTTCTTTACTCTGAAATCTGAATATCACAAGTCCCTTTCCCAGTCATCCTCCCCACAAGAAAAGAACCTATCCTATTGCTCCCATTTATATTCTCTCATCAACAATTAATTATTTTCAAACATATTTGGGAAAACATAGTTTTCTCCTTTGAGTTTCAATCAATTCAGATCAAAGTTTCTGCATTTTCTGGGTTAAGGAAACTAGAACTTAAAACTATAGTTAACGTTGGCCGCTGTCTCTAAAAATGATGTGCTGCTGATGTGGCAGTGACATGCCACTGATGTCAAAAAAATGTAAGGACCACGACCAAACTTAAGAAGTATTTGGATGGAAACCAAACCATGATTTTAAAAATAGTTTTACGGTATATAAACTAAAATGTGAAGGAGTTTGCCTCGTTTTGCAAAAAAATGCTTTTAAAAAATATTTTTTCATGTTACCAAACACCTCTTTAATCACCAGTTTAAAGATTGATTCCCAAAAAAAAAAAAATGGGAATTTTAACCTAATTATAGGATCAGAGATTATGTTTTGCCAGTTTTGTCCTCTCCTTCTCATCTCATTCGATTGAATTTGATATGCATAGTGTAGACTTTTCTCTTTTCTTAGTGTTTAAAAATTAGATTTTTTTTAATAAGATAACATATTTTGCATTTTACTTTATTTAAAAGAACAATATTAAAACCTACTTAAAAAAAGGAAAGTCAGAAAAATCCTTGCTTTACTACTTTGGCTTCCAGCTCATTGAAGATGTCATTTTTTATTACAGCTGTTCCTTGGAATAGGACAGCATAAAATAATAACAGGAAAAATTATCATGGAGTCTGGATAAAGAATATAATTATTAAAATATCTTAGGAACAACACAGTAGTCTATAATAACAAGTAGCAATAAATAATAATTATTCACTTATTATTAAGACTTACTGATATATATTTTTAAAATCTTATTGTAATTTTTGTCAGAACTTTCACGAAAAATCTTCACATACTGGCCCTTGAACTTCACTAGGGCCATACTCCTTGAAACATCCTCTTCAAGTTTTATATCTTAAAATGCTAAATTCTCCAAAAGCTTACAATATCTGCGTTTGTCACTTGGATCAACAAGTATTAACATTTCTTGCTAAATAACAACGTGAATTTAGCGGCATCCAATTTGCTTTCTTGTCAAAATACATAGAAAATGCAACGACCTTTAAGTGATTTCCCTTTTTTGGTTGGTAATTAGTTGAGTAGTTTCTTAATTCGTTTTTCATAAAAGACTCGAGTAACTTTGTCATTATTTAGTACTCCTCTAGTCCTTAATATAAGACCCATTTAACTAATTTGATTAGATTAAAGAAGTTAGGTAAGTTAGTTAATTATAAGAAATGTGACACGTTTTTCCTAAAATACCATAATCATCTTTTTTAATACCTCATTTTTCTCTTCTACTTGATTATGGTTGAAAGAGTATCCATAAGGGTAATTTAGAGAAAATTGATAAATATGAGAAATAGGTCTTATATTTAGGACCAAAACCAACTCACCAATTGAGTCCTATATTAAGGACCGGAAGAGTATTTCCTTTATATTTTTCGGAGTTAACATCCAAGTGATGAAGCTTGAAGTTTTCCACATGGGGACAAGAAGAATATGTACCAAGGATTCATTCATGAACACATTTTATTCGACACTGTTTCGATATTCACACAGACGACAGCCAAATATTTTATAAACAAAGATACCAACCATGTACACACTAAATTAGAATAAAGTGTAGTGTAAATCTTTCACAACAAGCAATGCGGTGCACAAAAATAAATGAGTCACATTGTTTATAACTTAACTCACAAAAACAGTAATTTTCTATGGATTTTATATTATATATTAAACTGATGGTTGATGAGAGAGGAAGGAGGGGAAGAGCAAAATTTTGATGATTTGAAGTTGCTAGAAAAAACTGAAGAGCGGAGTTGAAAGGAAGTAGAAAGTGATAAATTACATCAGAGATCGTATATACATTCAAGGCCATTTTGTGAACTCAAAAACTTTAAACACAATATCAATTCCAGTGGGAATCTGCCATACAAAGAGGAGAACGTTCAGTGTATTCAAGGCAATGTGAAGATTTCTGGCTGTTTCATTCCCTTTCTGCATTGCTGGTACTAGCGCTGCTGCCAATGCCCATAAAACTGTAATACCTGGTTTGCCCAAGAGAAAAGCACAACACTACTCATTTTCTCCTTATAATAGTAATTTGCGCTGCGGATTATAAATGGATATACTATTGCTGAAGTGAAAATAGAAAAAGAGAATGCATATGAATCTCATAGAGGCGGAGCCCTAGAACATGCTGGGTTTGAATAGTCATAGCTTGCGTTATGTGCGTTTTGGTGATTATAAGTTCTTGCAAACATTCCAAAATGCATTATTGGTTTGTTGGGAGTGGTTAGAATTAAATCAAAAGGTTACTAAGATTTGAGTAGTTGTGGGGTTAATTTACAAAGGAAAACTTCAAAATGAATGGCTTGTTTTGGTACGGGGTTGGGTCTAATCATCTTAAGACAATGCCATTCGCCCCTTCCAAAACTCATTTGGTTGTGATTTAAAAATGTTTCACTGCACTGTCGTGTTACTTTGGTTTAGCACTTTTCCAACAAAAACCAAACAACTTCAGAAACAAACATTTTTAAAAGGACAAATGACATTATTTTTCAGTGGGACTTTTTTCCATTACAAACCACACATCTCAAGCTTCCCAGAGAGCTAACTCATAATTCTTAAAAGTTGAGAAAATAAATAACAAATTCTCATAATTAGGCCTAAAAAGTTGTCAAATTGGTTGCAAAAGCAGTCATCCCAATGGGAAAAATATTTGGCCGCAGTATCACGTTGCAAAACTTTCATAAGCAACCTGAAATAACTCCAAAATTAGTGTTTAATCTGAGATTCTGAGGCTTAATGTGAGAGACCAATCATCGGATGCTGCATATGTCTTCATCATGTCCCTACTTTGTTAGTGATCTATGAACTTTTGCCAGCATAGCTGATCATACGTCATCTTAGAATTTCAGATATGCATGATCTAAGCCTATAAAAAGCGATAAAATTTAAAAACAGTGAAGTCAAGCGACATATATATTAAGTAACAAAGTTATAGAGACCAAAATAAACTTAAGTATAGGCACTAAATTTAATGCAGATATAACTATTCATGGACCTCCACATGATATTTTAAATTCTCCAGTTGAGGTGAGTGTGGACAAATTGCTACAGTGTTAAAATAAAACAATCATTCATGACTGCAAGATAAAAACAATACCTGCTCCTGCAAACAAATGTGGACCGGGAAACAACTTTCCAGCTCTGAACCAAGTATTGAGTCCCCCACCAACTGATTCAAGCACTCCAAATCCTAGAAGTATGGATCCCGCATTGAAGTGTCTGTCCCTGTAAGATCCCTTCAGAAGCTCCTTCCTCTCCTGAATTTCAGTTCCCAACATATATATTAGCTACTCATCTGAACTCAGCACCTCATGATTCAATCATCCATTACGTTTTTTTTTTTAAGTCATAAATAAAAAATTTCAGTTCAAATAATAAACAAGAGAAGAGAAGAGATAGAAATAATATTATAATAGAGGCACGCAGCCACTATAAACTACACTGTTCATGTAACTTGTAAATAATGCAACTTTCATGAGATTGTGTAAATACATATATGTAGATTTCAATATAGCTTCCCGCAACTCGAGAAACAATGTTGAGGCTCTCAAAAGCCTGAACCAATCTCTTAACAAATCATTTAGTTAATCCGTGGTATTAAGCAAAAAGAGAACCGATTCTGCAATAAGCTTTGTAGAAGTTCTGCTCCTATTCGGTCTACGCTATGCGATGCTGTACAGAGTACAAACTTCAGCTAATATATCTCTTTAATTCAGTCAAATGCTCGCGATCAGAGTTAGACTACGGATTTAGATTTAGTATACATCATCTTTGTAGTATCCAAATTTAATTTAAACTGTTCGGATCATATATTTTTCACATTTTATAATTGAAATCCTATTTTTCAAAAGAAAAATGTAGATATTTTCTTTTTTTATCTGTTATCTTCTAACAAAATCTTTTGTATTTTAATCTGATGTGACCCCATCGGGAGTGAAATAGAAACATGAAACCATAAGCTCCCAAGCAATGGGAGATCTATATAATACTTCTTTGGTCCTTAATATAAGATTTATTATTAGATTAACGAAGTTAGTAAGTTGGTTAATTATAAGAAATACGATATGTTTTTTCTAAAATACCACAATCATCTTCTTTAATATCCCCTCCCTCTTCTACTTAGGGAGTATCCATAGGGGTAATTTAGAAAAAATTGATAAATATAAGGAATGAGGTCTTATATTTAAGACCAAAATCAACTAACAATCAGGTCCTATATTAAGGACCGAATGAGTAATATTTAGTTTAGACTATTCAAATTAAATTTGGATATAAAAATATGACGTATACATAACGCATACTCAAAATGTACACTAAATCAGCAAATCCGTTTGCCTAGACAAAGGGATTGTAACCTGATGCTAAATAATTAACACAACTCAAATGAACCATGTCACATTGTGTCTAACAACATCATATCAAGTCATCCGCCCTACACAAACCTTTTACACTGAATATTAGTTAGTCTATCTAAAAATTAGACATACATTATGTAAGTGGGTCGTTTGTATCTTCTCACTCCTGGCAATTTTACAGATAGCTAGCAAGGAGAGCAAGAGTGTAATTTGCAGGACTAGGAGTAAGTAGTACCTCAGTGAGTTGCTGAATCTTGAGTTCAACAGGTGAAGGGGGTGCTTCCACAGGCTCCCCATCTGGGGTCACCGGAGCGGGTTTCACTTGCTTCTTCAGCTCATTAATCTCATTCTGGATAGTCCTCACTCGCCGCCATTGCCACCCCAAATATCCAGCCCACAAGGTATAAAAGAAGAAAGTACCCATCACAATGGGATGTATCAGCGCAAATGTTCTTCCCTCCAATATCCCAAATTCCCCGCCAACAGCAATCGCATCCTGCCCCAAAAAAATGCTCAGAAAAATCAACAAAAAGGAAAAGAAGAAAGAAAGAAAGATGCCCATTGTATACATAAGATATATGATGAAGTAAAGGGGCTTGCCTTGGGGTGAATTAAGAAAGGAAGAGTGATTGCAGAGAGGGAAAGAGAAGCAGATTTGAGAGTATCAATATTCTGGTCAAGGAGCTTTAGGGGTTTGGGAAAGTCAAAATCGTGGTGTGGGGTAGTCAGTTTGGCAGAGATAGAGAGCTTTGGGAGCTTTGGGAGGGATGATGGACGTGGATTTTGGGGTACAATTGGGAGTTTGAGGAGACTGAGTGCGGCAGCCATACTGTCTCGTGGGAAGGCCAAGGATTTGGGAGGTTAAGACAAAATAAAAAAAGAAGCAGAGCGATGAAGAAGAAAGAGAACGAAAGGCGATGATGCGAAAAAGATAAGAGACTTGGATTTTGAGGTGACCATTACACTCTTTCTAAAGAAGCGTGCTTTCTGTTTATCAAGGCCCCCCAACCTCTTTCCTCATCGCTGACTCACGTGTTCTTTTATCATTCGACCTCGCAAGAACTCTCCTGAACTTCTGTTTATTTATCTCTACTTAATTAATGTCAGGGTCAGCGAGGATGATGTTAATCTTTTTGACTTCGTGCATTAATCCATTGAATTTAGGCTAGGAAAATAGAATTCAATTTAATTTTTGAAAAATTACGAATATATTATGCTCCACTCAGTTCGACAACCTTAAGAAATTTTGTGTGGACTTTCTCAAATTTAAGGGCCCAAAGTTTTACTTTGTTGGACTGGCCCAATTTGGTTAAACTTGTTTGGACTGTTCCCATTATGGTTAATGAGCCCTTAAGTTCAAGCCCTGCCCCCAAAAAACAAGACGTTTTTTTTTTTCATCCGTCAGAATTTAGCAGTCCTTATCGAAGGCAACCTAACAAAACAACATTACTAAGCTTGTCAAGTATCTTCACCTAACAAAACGACATTACTAAGCTTGTCAAGTATTATTATTTTCAATTGATTTTGTAGTTTAATGAATGAGGTCATTGGTGAGCCCAAAAAGGAAAAAAAAAGAAAAAGGAAATTAGGAATGCATGGTTGAGTTGACGATTTGCTGGTAAGCCATAAAATTTAATTTGTTAATGTGATGTTTTGTTGAGGTAACTATGTACGAATAATTGCGTGTTAAGTAACCAAACGACAATAATTAATAATAAAGGACGTCAATTTATGTTTGTTTAATTTGCACCTAATTAGGGGTATAACGTAATCAAGCAGGCAATTGACGGATACAACTACTGCTTCCATGGCCTCCTCTTCCAACACAGACAGATACCAAAACATCAACAATTCTTAAAAGTAATTTAAATTCTTTGTTGGTACGTTTAAAATTACATAGTTTATTGGTATGATTTTGAAGGAAACTGAAGCAAGAAAATATATTACTCCTCTGGTCCTTAATATATCACCTAATTATTGAGTTGATTTAGTCCTAAATATAACACTTATTTTTCATATTTATCAATTTTTTCTAAATTACCCCTATAGATATTTTCTCAACTATAATCAAATAGAAGAGGGAGAGAGGATATTAAGAAAGATGATTATGGTGTTTTAGGAAAAACATGTCATATTTTTTATAATTAACTAACTTACCTAACTTCCTTAATCTAATCAAATTAGTTAAATAGATCTTATATTAAGGACCGGAGGAGTATTGTTCTGGCTATGCTTTATGAATTTGAAATAATGGTAGTTTAAACGGGAAACTTGAAATTTATGATAGTAAAATTTAAATAATTGTGATTACTTGTCTTGATTAAACAATTCAAAAGACCCAAGTTCTTCTCCCAGTACACGCTTTATTGCAAATGTATGGCAATTACAATTGTCATGACCAAAACGATTCATGATATAATAAATGGTATAAAGTTGAAAAATGTCATATAAAAAATTGAATTATTTAGGTGACCAGAAGAGAGGGGATTGTCAGCTGTTGTGTTGGAATATTTATTCACAAAAATAAAAAAAGTGATACGCAATTTTTTTATACTTTCTTATTATTAACATTCATGTGTTTTTATTTTTCTTTTATCGAGCCTTTATAGTTTTATACGATTTCTAATCAAATTCCAGCATTTTTTTTAATCAGAACTTTACAATTTCACATGATTTTAATTAGGTACTGCAGTTTCATGTGATTAATTAAAGGAAAAAAACTGTAAAAAGTTAATTAAAAATTATGCGAAGCTATAAGAATGTGATTAGAAAATCTACAGAGATGTATTTCAAAATCAGATAAAATTATAAGTATCTAATTAATAAGAAAAAACCTGATTATATAGAAAATGAGTGAGGTTATGAGAGTTAAAGATTAATTTTTTTCCTCAACAAATTAAGAGGGAATGTCCGCACAATTTCAACCCGTAAAGTCACACACTCTCATATGAGAACATAATATATATTATTTTTAGTTCTTAATATAAGAGTTATTTTAATATTTAATATAGTTATTAATATAATACATCAATCCACCTTATCTCTCATATTTATTCGTTTTTTTCTCTAAAATAGTATTTATACATGTTAAAAGTTTTATCAAATGATAGTTTTAACTGATACATATGATTAATAATAATATTCTAAGAAATATAACACCTGTTTATGACAACTAACCAACTTAACAAACTTTCTTAATATATTCAAATTAGTCAATTAATTCTTATATTAAAGATAAGAGGTAGTACTATTAATTTGATTGCACGAAACATGAGGAAAACAAGGGGAGAGAGATAATTGTTTTGCACTATGAGCATTAATTCAAAAGATCAGACCACACAATACACATAACAACTCTTTCTAAAAACGTTTTTATCAACAAATAATCAAGTTGTGGGGATTGAAACAGTCCAAAACCGTACATGGAATTATACCTTCCCATGAAAATATACGAAACTCCAATCAAGTGGACGCTACATTGTACATACGCGTAGTTCCAACCAGACAGGGACATAAAACCAAAGTCACTAATGACCCATGAAGCCGGTGTTCCTTTTTCCCCCCCTTTGACTTGCAAGAGTATTTCTGAGTTTGAAAGATTCCCGTGCTTGGCTTCGTTGCTGCAAGATGACACGCACAAATCGAGAAATTTAACAATAGGACTTTTTGAATCTTGCCGTTAAATTTTGGTACGAGTATTCCTTCACCAATCAATTACTTACCGAATAATTAAGAAGTTGGCTGGAAGATGAAACAACCAGCAGGTACGCCATTAATGGGTCAGCCAAAGAAGCATTCATATGATACCCCCCCCCCTCCTTGTTCGCGCCGCAAGGCATCAACCAACAAGTACTTTCAGTCTATTTTATATTGTTTACTATTTCACAGATTAAAAAAAAATTTAAAATATATTTACTCTTTATTGAAATATAATATTTTTTTAATTTTATTCATATTTAATATATACACATTTCAAGAGAAATAACTATTTATACTAAAGTAAATGAAGAATAAAATAGTATATTCACACTAAAAATTTAATAAGGTGACTTATAAATAGGATAAAAAAACTTCTCTTTCTGCCCTATGAATAGAACCAGAGGAGTAATACTGAAAATCACTTAAATTTTATGGCAAATTTAATTCTTTTAACTGTTTTTATTGGTACTTTCTCCAATCATATTTATAAGTTTCAAATTTAGAGAGAGGTGTGGTTTATTTTATAAATTCCAATTTGAGATTTATCTAAACATTTATTTTTTTTATTTTTACTCTTAATCATTTATTCTCTCCCATTTGTCATATCCTCTTATTATAGTTTCACATATATTCTCTTTCATTCCTCTTTCTTATTTAGTATAAGATCATATTTGGAAACAAAACTATATTTCTAACCTACTTATTATTTTTAACAAATTTTAACTATTTGGTTATTATTCATAAATTAGTTATTTGAAATTTATAATAAGAATCAGAAAGGATACTTGTGAATTAGTTATAAATGATTTATAATAAGGAGTACAGTTAAGTAGAACTTGGCTTTTCGCACGATGCAAGGTTGGGGCAGGAACCAAAAGAACCTAAATTACAAAAAAAACAAAACCAAAATCAGACAAAATCCATGAGGCATTCTCAAGAACTCAACATCTTTTTAAGATTTTTTTATTATGTGGCTACGGTTTAACTTCTGATTTCCAATAGTGTAAAATTATAATATATAGTACTTTCACCAAAAAAAAAAACTCTATTATTAGTAATATATTGAACTTGGATTGTGCAGTACTGTAGTGTAACCACGGGTCTTAACCGTGGTTAAGCAATGTCACCCAAATGGCGAACGACAATCCAATTAATTAATAATTAACTTCCACTTCTAAATCTATTATTGTAAATCAGACATGCGAATTATTAATTAAACCCCACAGGCTATGAGCGGTACATTAGCAACGGCAAAGATTGTTATCACATCAGTTAAAAATTGTAGTTAAACTTATATTATTTTTAGTAATAACACACGTATTTCTGCGAGCACATTCCCTGCTCCCCATTGTGATAGTATGAAGTGCTTATCACAATTTAGACATCTAAATTAAATTTTGATAGTTTAGATTGAATTTAAATTTTTTATATATTTTAATTAATTTTTTATTTTAATAGATACAGAATTTAAAATTAGTATAATATTATAACTACTATATCTTTTAAAAATAAATTTGTCATTAAAAAAATTGTATATTAAAAATTTTAAATCTGAACTATCCATATCAATTTTGAATGGTTTAGATTGCATTATAATGATAAGCATATGAGCTCACATATGCTCATTGTTGTGATAAGCACTGTATGAAAACTCCATATTTCTTTCTTACTTGATAATAAAATCAACATCTTTAGCGAGGCGAAATGTTAAAAAAATATTTTTAAATATTGAATTCAAATTTCATTAACTTTAAACGCATATAAGCAAAAGATTTTTTGGAAAAAAAATATTTTTCAATGTTAAATTATATGGAAAATTAACTTAAAATTTTTGAAAGACTTGACTTTTTTATATTTTAAATCAAAATAATGAACAAAATTTTTTTATCATTCCTTGACTGTGTATATTTTAATTTCATATGAAATCGGCTCTCGGTAAACTGGTCATAATCAAATGATCATGTCACACTAAAGTTGCTCGGAATATTAAACAAGACTACAAATTAATCCAACAAGTCGAAATTGACTATGACCCCACCATTTCAAAAGTTGAAGGGGAAAAAAGAAGTAATTAATTTTTACCAAAACGTTGTTAGAAACTAAAATATGATGATGATAATTAATTGAAACATTATGTCGGCAGTGGTTCGCACCATGCACTTTAATCTTGAGAGATAAATCTAATTCATTTAATGTTTTTGAAAAAATGTTCTCCATCTATAATCATGTCTTTAAGAAAGTATCTTTGGGAATCTTTTGAGTTTTCTATAATTAACTCAGAAAGAGACACTGACAAAAGGTGGAAAATTTAAACAAAAGCCGATATGGAAGAGAGATCATACTAAAGCACCACCGACCCCTAAAGTGATTTTTATACTTCACTTATTTTAATAATTTTACGTTGATAATTATATAAGGAGAATTTTATCTCATAAAATCTAAAAGTGATTTTTTGATCCAAAATGACATGAAGCAATCACTTTAAAATTAGAAATTGATAGGGATTGCGTTGGATTGTTTAACTTTGGGAGGTCAAAAGACATATGTTTTTCTCAGAAGTCCATCAATGACTCGAACCTAAGAGAGAGCCTTCGTGCCTCCGAATTGTGCATGCCACTTTGCTTTTCGTAAGCGTATACGCAATTGTGTCTTACGTACGTGTAGTGGCAAGTGACCCCCAGCACTAGCTCTTTGTTTCTCTGAAACTTTGGAGAATTCGATTTAGAGAGTTCAACCTCCACAAGAAAATATTGAATTTAGTTGCAGATTATTTCAAAAGTTTTTATAGGTATCGATTTTTTTTTTTTACTGCAAATTTGTTTCAAAAATTTAAATTTATAATAATATTGTCTATTGACAGTTAACATTTTAATAACAGGACAATATTGATATAATTTTAAATTTTTAGAACAGTTTTGTACTTTAAGAATTTTTGTTGTGCCAAAGGCTCTTGAATAAAATTTCAAGGGCAAATTTGCATCTAAAGCCCCTGAAAATATTTATTATTGAAGAATATTCGGATATATGAATTCGACGCTTGGGCATTTTGTGTCATTATCTCGTTGCGAAGAACTTGGCAATTGGCATTTTGTGGCAGTAATTTTGATTTCAAGGCAAGTTTTTGCCTCTTCTGTTGACAAATGTGGTAAAAACTTTTAATCCTCAAATTAAAATGATACTCTCTTGATTGAATTTTGAAGCCTAGCATTCGATATTTTGGATGGGAGAGATTGCTATTCTACTGAGAATCTAATTAACTTTCACGAGTTTTATTCCATCCAAGGAAAATATTTCTGTCCAACGCTCAATTGGATTAGGATGCATGAATTTTGCAATAGATAGTTACCTTTTTTTTTCTCATTTTTGAAATTAATAGAGAAATTATTTTATTGCCATCCACACCCTCACAATTTTTAATAAGATGATTATTCTGCCAAATCAAAGAAAAATAAACTATATTAAATATTAATTTGTCACGCCAACACCAATAAAAAATCAAACAAATCATAACAAGACTGAAATGGTATAGGTGTATATCCCCTAATTATCTTTTTAGGCTAAGAATAAGATCTAGCGTATAGATTAATTAATAATTAACGAAGTAGATTACGTGACTTACTTATCCCCTCACGAGTCAATGAAACCCCCAAAGAGACACAAATTGGACGCGTAAACAACGCTTGTAATTCATGCCCAAGGACATAAAGAGAAAGGGCTCTTCTTTTTTCACTGGACAATTCTTTATCTTCTTCTTTTAGCCTCACTCCCTTGTCTCTGTTACTTGCTCCTCAAGTTCTTCTCAAACTCCGTTTAATACCATCATGATTTCCCACCAAAAGTTCAAAGCTATGCTTTCCAGAAAATCATTTTTTCTGAAACTCTAGCCTTAGTTTGCCCACTTCCTCAACTGGGATTTTGTCTTCCATCACCGCAATGATTGTTTACATATCAGTTTGGTTCATTCTTCTTGCAGTATTGCTTTTTCTTGCGTTCTTTTTCCTTCGGGTGATTCTGTTCAAAACTGGATTCATCTATACTCTGAAGAAATTATGGAGGACGGTTGAGGACTACTTTCATGTTTACCAGTTCTTCAAAGTTCCAGAGCTCAACGAGAGCTTGAAGGAGAATCAGCTTTACAAGAAGGTCTCTCTCTATCTGCATTCTCTGCCTTCCCTTGAAGACTCTGACTTCACCAACCTCGTCACTTCGTCAGGGAAGAAGCAGCATGACATCGTTCTCCGCCTCGACCAAACAAACCATCGGCGATGAATTTCTTGGAGCTAGAGTGTTCTGGTTCCACGAAGCAGAACAAACATGTGAGTCGAAAAACAGAACGTTAGTACTGAAAATCAGAAAAGCCGACAAGAGAAGAATTCTCCGGCCTTATCTCCAGCACATCCACAGCGTTGCCGATGAAATAGAGCAACAAGGAAAACGTGATTTGAAGCTGTACATGAACGCTGGCACCCAATCCATAGGCGGCGACGGGAATGTCCGGTGGAGATCTGTTCCGTTCACGCATCCATCAACCATGGATACCATCGCCATGGAAACCGATCTGAAGACCAAGATAAAATCCGACCTCGAATCTTTCCTCAAAGCTAAACAGTACTATCAACGATTGGGTCGGGTATGGAAACGGAGCTTCCTTTTGTACGGGCCATCCGGTACCGGAAAATCGAGCTTTGTCGCTGCCTTGGCCAATTTCCTCAGTTATGATGTATACGACATCGACCTTTCCAACGTCCCTGGAGATTCCGATTTGAAGCTGCTGCTGCTGGAAGCGACGCCTAAATCGATCATCGTCATCGAAGACCTCGATCGGTTCCTGATGGAGAAGAAGTCGACGGGTGTGAGTTTGTCAGGAGTATTGAACTTCATGGACGGGATTTTGAACTCGTGCTGCGCAGAGGAGAGAGTCATGGTTTTCACGATGACCAGTAAGGATCAAATCGACCCGAACCTACTTCGACCGAGTCGGGTTGACGTCCATATCCATTTCCCGCTTTGTGATTTTGCATCATTCAAGACGCTCGCGAATAGCTATCTCGGTGTGAAGGACCACAAGCTGTTCCCACAGGTTCAAGAGATTTTTGAAAACGGTGCGAGTTTGAGCCCTGCCGAGATAGGCGAGTTAATGATTGCGAATCGGACCTCACCCAGTCGAGCTATCAAGTCGGTGATCACCGCGCTGCAAACGGACGGCGATGGTAGGGGAAGCGGGAAAATGGGGCGGCGGTCGGGGGAGAGCAACGCCGCCGATGAATTGGAAGAACGCGATGCCCGGTCTCCGTGTAGCGAGGGTCTATCTACAGTGAAGGATTTACGGAAACTGTACGGTTTGTTCAGAGTGAAGAGCAACGCGAAATCTCAGTCGTTCGATGTTGGGGTGAGTCCCAGGTCAGAGCGATGGTAGGGTGAGAATCTTACACGTGTTAAGGAAGAATTGTCCATGTGGATAGTGGATGCAAATTAAAAAGGCCGAAAAGGCGTTTTCTGTAACCCGGCACCAAGACTCGGCACGTTTGATTCGTTTGAGTGCAAGATTTTCATTTGTCATTTTTAGGAGTGATTTAGAGTTAAACGTTTAGAAGGGGAAAGGTAATTTAATACGTGTATTTAGCAAAAAGGGTTAGATTGATTGGCCAAAGAAACAAATTTTCTAGTTTTAATTTTGTTTTTTCAAATTTCTTTTCCTTCCACTTCAAAGCACCTCTCACCATGTGCCAGACGAAGAAAGGATCTCATTGACTGAATTGCACTTGGTACAAATCCATCTATTTAATGCCTTTTATAAATCAAGGCAGATTTATCAAATCATATCTAGTGAACTATAAGAAAATTGCTGCTCAAAAAAAGAACTATAAGAAAATTGATCTCATTTTCTTTTGAAAAAATAGGTTGATTTAGTGTATGCATTCTGATTTTCAAGTATTCATGAATATTAAAAAATGTTACTAAAAAAAATCTTCCTAAAATTTCAGCTTGCATTATCATATACTATTTCTAGTTCTTAATATGAGAAATAGTTTAACACTCAATTTGGTCCGAAATATAAGAGCTCAGTATATTTTGTCTCTCATATTTATTTGATTTTTAAAAAAATAATCATAGTTGCACATGTTAAATATTTTATCAAATATAATTTTGACTAATATACATAATTATCAGAGGTATTTTAAGAAAGACAACACCTATTTATTATAAATAACTAATTTAAATCACTTTTTTAATCTACTTAAATTAGTCAACTAGTTATTATATTAAATATAGGATGTAGTAATTTGCTTTATATATATACTTAGCCACAGCCAGAATAACAGCATGGGAAAAAAATCAGAGATGGAGATAACATCCCTACATGTGGCAGCTCTCATACGAAGCATTGAAAAATAAGGGGTACGGATTGAGATTATGGATTAAGAAAATTTATTAAAAAAATATTTAGTATAAGTAATTGTTTTTTTTACCTGGGATTGAGTAAATCTATGTATGTGTGATTGAGAAATGTCATAAGAAAAAGTGTTATTCCCCAATCTCACTACAACAAAAAACCACTTATACTAAATATCTTTAACTCTTTTTCTCAATCTTGATTTTAATTCTTAACCCTCATTTTTAATCTTTCATCCCAGCTAAGAGTTTGAACCTATGTGGGCCTCATCGCAGCCCATCCTCGTCCTGTTTATGTGCACGAATTTGGCCCAATTATTGTTCCTGAAAGCGGCCCAACTGAGAGAACTGGTCACAATCACGTGCGTTCGTAATTTTTTCCAAAACTCACATCAATATTAGCATTAGTAGTAACTTCAATAAGTAGTCCTCGTCACATTGAGAAAGGCAGTATTTCGAGAATGAATTTCATGCAAGAGTTATCCCGCCCTCTTCTTTTCAAAGGTATATTTTAGCTACTTCAACGATATTAAAAAATACATTATAATCATTAAATGTGTAAAAATCTTTATAATTGCTTATAATTCTCGTACCACTTAATCTTTTATAGTTTAGAATATTAATGCTTCAGAGAACAGAGTATCTTTTCTTTTCTTCCCTTGAATACTCAATGCAAAGACATAAATAAGGAGAAAACAACAGAAAAAATTAAAATAAAAA